TTATATTTTTTTTTTATTGTGCCTGATTTTAATTTTATATGCGGTGTGCTTCTTTCAAATTAAAATCTTGTAAAAAAAAATTAAAAAAAAAAACACTCGTATTTTTTCGTGATATGTTGTGAACGAGTAAAATCAATTATTTTTTTTTTTAAAAAACACAAAAACAAAATTTTTTAGTTTTTTTTTGGGTTTTATAAAATTCGTTTTTCTAAAAAACTATTTTTGGATTTTTATATAAAATCACATCACAACACTTTTTTTTTTTACCACAGCGATTCAAAAATAAATGGGCCAGATTTTTTTTTTTAAAGTTTTTGTTAAATGTTTTTATTATTACCATAAAAATAATTAATTTTTATTTTAGATATCTGTTTTGAAAAAAAATTTGAAAAAAAATTAAAAAAAAAATAATTTAAAATTTTTTTTATATTTTTTTTCTCTGTGCGATTTTGTGTTATAATTTTATCTATATATATAATTATTATTGATAATAAGTAAATAATAATAATGAATTTTTAAAACCAAATTTATATTTTAAAGAACAAAGGGGGTTTTAAGGTGAATTTTTTTAAAAAAACTAAGAAATAAAAATTTATTCACTTTTTTTTATATATATATAAAAAAAAAAAATTTTCATTTCTCATTTTTTTTTGTCGAGACAACCGTAGTTCGCATACAGCAAAGATAGTGAAACAATATTTAGAAGAGAATAATATACAAGTTAACCTAATACCATCTTACATGCAATATTTAAAGAACGTGCAGGATATACCAAATATTAATTAATAATAATCAAATAATTGATAAAAAAATACAAATAAAATTGAAAAAATATATTTTTAATTTTTAACAAATAAACCAATATCTTGTACTATGATTTATTTAAATGGTTCTTTTTTAAAATTTAAATATGAACTATTTATTCAATAGTTTTCATTTCCATCCTAATAAAGTATGGGGTATACATATTTATTCCGGGCACTGTAGATTTAATAACTTGCTTTTGTTTGTTTAATTTCATATTTTTGGGTCTTCAATTTCTATAATTATTTTTCCATTCCCCAAACTATTTTTTTTGATTACTTCGTGTTGTTGTGATTGAAATGGTTGATATTTATTTATGATGTGTGAGCTCTTGTTTTTTCTTTTTGTTTTTTTATAAATATATAATTCCAATTTCTAAAACTTTATTTTCTTACTCTTTGCTCTTTAAAAATTTATGATACTCTTGATAATTTTTTTGTTTATTATCACCATACTAAAAAATTATAGTTGTTTTTTAATAATAATAATAATAATGGTTGTAGCTATGAAAGATTTGTTATGGAAATGTGGATTTGAAAGTTTTATTTGTTTAAGTGAAGTATAGTTATTTTATTTAAATTTAAAATTAATTAAAAATTTTAAATAAATTAAAAAAAAATTAATAAATTAAAAATCGTTGATAAAATAATGATTTTTTTATTATTTCACAATCAACATCATTTTTCCTTTTTCAGAAATGCCAACTCTATAATATTATTATAAATTAAAACCCAATAAAAAATCATATAAAAATTTTTTTTTACAATCATTCCAGATTCATTTCTTAATTTGGTAAAATTTAAAATTTTTTTTTATTTTTTTTAAATTTCTTTTTTTTAATTTTAAAAATTTTTTTTTCAAATTTCTTTTTTTTAAAAGTTTGTAGAAAGATTTTTTTTTTTTTTTATTATTTCATTCACCCACAAATAATAATATTCTTTTATTTTTTTATAATATTCGATTCAATAATAAATTTTTTTTTTCTTCTTTATTACTACAAATAATAATTTTCTATTATAATCAATAATTTTCTATTTTAATTATAGTTTATTTTTATTTATATATAATCAATTTATTTATATTTTTTTTTTTAATATTTTATAGTTAAAATAATCAAATAAAAAAATATAAAAAAAAATGAAAAATAATAAATTTATAATTCTATCTTTATATTTATATTTATTATTTTTATTATTGTTACAAAGAAATTTTATTTTTGTAACTCAAGAAAAAGAAATTTCAAATTCACCTGTCCCATTGTTTTGCAGTATTTTTGAAAATGGTACCTTAATTAATCCAGTAATTGATGGATACGAATTGGCCTCTATTGAAAACTCCGATACTTGTGAAGATATCAATGAGTGCCAAAGAGAAATTTCAGGTTGTTCCCAATTATGTCACAATACTATTGGTTCATTCGAATGTTCTTGCCAACCAGGTTATACCTTAGATGTTGATAAAAAGGGTTGCGCAGGTAAGTAATACTTTATTTATTATAATTTTAAATATTTAACTTTAAGTGCTAATTGCTTTTGTTTTAGATATTGATGAATGTAATGATGGTGGTGGCTGTGAACACATATGTAGTAATTTAATGGGCTCTTTCGAATGTTTATGTAATCCAGGATATACTTTAGATGGTGATAAAATGGGTTGCATAGGTAGGAATCATTTTTTATATCTTAATTTAAATTTTTACTTTTTTATTAATATTTTAAATTCTTATTTATAGATATTGATGAGTGTTTAGCCGAAAGCTCAGGTTGTGCCCATTATTGTAAAAATTTAAATGGTTCGTTTGAGTGCTCTTGTGGTTCAAGATTTGCTTTAAATGATGACAAAAAAGGTTGCACAGGTTAGTATTGGTTATATATTTTTATAGATAGTAATAGATTATAAATTAAAATTAACATTGTATTTAATTAAATAATTTAACAGATATAACTTTCATTATAGTTTGGAACTATTTAGAATCATTCCTAGATATGCTCAAGTTTCAAAATGAAGTTACAAGTACCACATTTTTTGCCATTTGTCTTTATGCATTAATTAGATTTATAGCCAAACCAAGAGTTTACAAGTCAAATCTTGCACAAATATTAATTAATTCTATGGCCTCACCATTTAGATTTCCACCACACTCATTGGCATCATTAATAGTATTTAAAACTGATTCAGATGGTTTCTCAGATTTAAATATTATCTCACAGGTGTTGGGTGGTAGTGTAGGAAAAGTTATAAAAGAAGAATTCAACGAAAATTATTATACTAGACAGGTTAATGTAAATATTTTTTATAAAGGTTATTTTTTTTAAAAAAATTTGTAAACATAACTACTCACTTGGAATACTGCTACATAACATTATTTTTGTTTTTTTTTCTTTGGATGTTACCATTCTAAAAATAATTTTAATTTTAAATTAACTTTTTATTAATTTTTTTATTTAGTCAGGTTCATTTACACAAAATAATTCAATTTATCATACCCGACAATGGAAAGTAAGTAAAATAAATAATATAATAAAATTTATTAAAGTATTTAATAACACTTTTGTTTTTACAATGTATAGAGAAACCAAAAAAAATTTAGTTCAACAAAAATAAAATAGATAGTATTAAATCATTAACTAAAAAAAAAAAAAAAAAAAAACAAATTCATATTAAAAATAAATAATAGACTACCAAAAGAAAATAGCTTTGCACCAAACGCATATCAAATCATCATCAATATTAGAATTAGTAGAATTTAAACCATCATCCTCCTATAGCTCTGACGACAAAAACTCTCTAAAATTTTATCTGGCCAATTTAATTTTGTATTAATTGTTGTAAGTTCTTTAGAAGATGGATGGTATAGAGTCGAAATAAATAAAAAATATCACAATATTTGGTCCAATTCATAATAATCAAATTATTTCCTCAAAATCATTACCAACATTTATCATTCAAACTTAATATCGATGTAAAAGTAGACTTAAAAATAACCAGTAAAGAAGATCCAATCGTATATAATCCAATAAATATAATAATAACTAAACTAATTATTCATAAATAAAATAAAATAGTCATAATTAATCGATTATAATAATCAATAGTTTAAAAATTTATATAAATAAACACTATTTTATTTGATTATAATAAAGAAAATTAAATATATCATAAAAAAAAAAAAATTTATATTTTATTTGAATATATCTTTTTAATGGTGCAACAGGTAACACATTTATTTAGAGTTTTAGTTATTTACTTTTGAATCTGAATTAAATTTATGTTCCAAAAGGAACATCTAAAAAAATGCATGGAAAGACCACATTTTTGATTCAAATCCAACAAGCAAGGGTAGGAAAGCCTGGTTAAATCCGTGTGACTTAAGATCTCATCCTGTCGGTTCGCGAGTTCGAATCTCGCCTCTTGCAATCATCTTTATGAATATTTATTCTTCCCAGTGATTTCAACTTTGAGTCAAACACTATTCTTTAATTGTTCACCACCATAATTCACACACAGTGTCTCTTTACAAGAAAGCTTTTAGAATTCTACACACGGATTGACCTTTGCCAAAACTTATATGCGGCTTTTACCAGGTTAAAAACCAAAAAGAGTTACTGTATAAAATTAAATAATTAGTTTTTAGTTTACAAAAATTTAAAATTATTGTTGATATTAAATTTTATATTGTAATATTAAAAGAATTAAAAAGTTATACAATTAAAGGAATTTGACACCAAATTATTTAATATTTTTATAAAAATGAAAAAAAAAAAATTTAAAAAAATTAAAAAAAAATTTAAAATATTTTTTTGTCATCAAATTCAATAATTTATTTTTTTAATTAACTAAAAAAATTGTATATATTCTATTGGTATTATAATTAGAGGAGCTATACTAATGTAATATGGCCTCCTCAAGAATAATTAATCTTATTAATAGTGGTAAAAAAATAATAGATTTATCAAAATCAATAAAGTTTAAAAATATAATTCCAAATAATAATAATAATAGTTTTTTAATAAATAATGCAACATTAAATAATAGCTCAACTATCAAAAATAGTAATAATAATAATATCAATGTTAATACTAGTAACAATAATATAACTAATTATAGTAATGTTAATAATAGTATAATTAATAATAAAAGATATTATTCGTATATGCCACCAACATGGGAAGAAAAAGATAACAATCAACATTTAAATACTATTACAACACCTGAAGAAGAAGATGCAACATCTAATATTAAAGATTCAATTCTATGGGTTAATCATTTATATCCAATTAAAGTAAGCAGACTAGATTTTAGATCATTGTTGTTCCACATACCGATCACCAAGAAATTGAACTCATTGTTCCCAGAAGATATTAAAATTTTATCAATCGAAAAGAGAATTAAAGAAGGTGGGGCATATATTCATTTTCAATACGATTCTAGCAAGCCAGAATATAATACACCAGAGTTGGTAATGGAGAAATTAAAAAAAATATTTGCAATGGAAAAGAAACACTTTCATTTCGCAAGTAGACCAGCACAATGTAAATTGGTCTATGGTAGACCATTTGTTGAAGATATTGACTATAGATTCCCATCCACTACATTGAAAATAACATTTAAAGGTTCTGAAATGTCAATTGATGATATGTTTCGTTTGTTTAGACCCTATGGCCACATCAGAGATATTCACTTTACATCACCAGTTCCAAGTAAAGATGGCCCAAGACAAGCCATTATAGTATTCAAAAGAATGGAAGGAGCAATTGCAACTAGAAATTGTTTACATAACAAATATTTCCCAGAGTTTAATACAACATTATATATGGATTATGAACAACAGATGGTATGTATATTATTAAAAATTAAAGATTTATATTTACTAATATATTTTTTTTAGCGTATAAATAAATTAAAAGATCAATTTTCAAAGCATCCAAAGATTATGATTCCATTGGCTGGTATTTTAGCAACTTTATTAACAATATTATTATTTAACCCATTAAGAGAGTTTTTCATGGAAAGAAGAATGGATGAGGTGTTTTATTTCGATCATATCGACGAAGAATGGCAAGATAGAATTGAACAAAAAGTTTTAGATACACATTTCAACTATCCACCCAATTCAATTGTTATGATTTCAGCACCAAAAGGTTCAGGTAAATCCTCATTAATCGATAAGGTATTGGAAGGTAGACATAATACTTTATTAGTAGATTGTAATCAAGAGGTAAACAATACGGATGAAGAGTTTATTGAATCGTTTAGTAAAGATATTGGTTTCTTCCCATCCTACAGTCTATACAGTTCATTTGGTAGTCTTATGGATGCAATTATTCCAACTGGTAAAGGTGCATTCCACTCGACCACCAATTATCAAATGCAAACTATTCTCAAATTATTGGACGAAGTTTTAATAAAGAAATCTAAACATTTCCCAGATGATCCTCATCAACCATACGAGTATCCATTAATTGTTATCGACGGTTTCTTTGGTATGATTGCTGCTATGGAAAGTAAAGAAAAGGCAAATATTATCATGGATTCTATTATTCAATGGGCTATTACATCCACACAAAGAGGTCATGCTCATGTTGTATTTTTAAGTTCAGACTCATTCGCTGGTGATGTTATAAAGAAATATTTAGACAACAGAGGAGGTGGTCAAATTTCAACAGTTCAATTAGGCGATGTTAATCCAAATATGGCTATTAATTATATCAAGAAAAGAATCGGATCCACACCAATCACCGAAGATGAAATGAAGGTAGTAGTTGATACATTGGGTGGTCGTTACTATGACCTTAATGTTCTCTCACAACGTATGATTGCAGGTGATACTGTTCCACGTGCCCTCTCCAATATGATTGCTAAAGCTGTAAGTGAAATTCGTGCTGAAGGTTTTGGTCTCTCTAAAAGAGCTGAAGAAAAATCTGCTGGTGGAACCAAAGGGGATAAATTAAAATGGACTCGTCCTCAACTTTGGGAAACTATTAAAAAAATCGCAGAATCGAACTATGTCTCGTATGATGACCTCTTGTTCAATGTTTTCCTTGGTGATGAATCATCATTGAATAACTTGATCATGAGCGGTATCCTCAGATTCCAATCGATCGATAACGAACGTAAAGTAACCGCATACTCTCCATTATACTGTGCCGCTTTTAAACAAATGGTAAACGATTTAGAGTTCAATGTAGGTATGGATATTTTAGTACAAAAAGCACGTATCGAAGAAGAGTTGTCTAAACTCTCCAAAGTTGAAGATGAATTAATCAAACTTAAAAACCTCACCTCACAAACATGGTTTGAACCAACATCTGTCAAGAAGAGAAGAGAATTATTAGAAGATAAATTAAAAGATCATGTAACCAAAATTGAAACTAGAGAAAATATTTTAAAAAGACACAGTCAATTCCAAAAACTATTACACCAACAAAAATAAATAAAAACAAAAAAAAAATTTAATTTAAAACTATTACAAATTATATTTATTTATTATTTATTTTTTTAATTTGTGTATCTAATAAATAAGAATATTTTGATGGTTTGTTTAACTTTGTTAATGATTGTAAAATAGATTTGGAATATTCTTTACTTTTATCGACAAAACTATTTGATAGTACTATTATAATTGAATAGAGTGTGTCGGCAGGTTGTGATAGATCTTCGGTGTTGTACTGGTCTTTATTTAACTCTGTCACTATATTATTAAAATACTCTATTGATAGGTCTGACTGAATCAATTTATATTTGAGAGCCATTGGGCTATCTCCATCAAAAATACTTTTCAATATCAATGAAATTATTTTTGATAAATAAGGTCCAATTAATTCGTTGTTTTCTAAACTTTGATCATTTTTGTTCACTGGGTAACTTGAAAATATACAAATGGTTATTAGCTCTTTTAGAATGGTATGTGATACGAATGGCGATTTCGATGCTGTAGATAGTTCTTTAAATGGCGATTTAAATAATAATGAATCATTAGGAGTGTTTGATGAAATTGGCAGCCAGTGGTTTGATATTAGCGAAGCACATTTTGGTATTATATATTCGCAATACTCTGCTTCTTCTTTACCTTGGGCATTTACTTTATCTCTATTAAATGGATTAAGATAGTGGGATAGCATAGTGGTCAATAGAATACATGTAAAATCAAGAGAATATTTTGGTAACATTTCAAAATTACTGCTTGATTCATTCGAAATTAAATGATCATTTAATAAATATTTTAATAATTTAATTGATATATAATGTATATCAATTTCTTTACTACCAATATCACCACCTCCTACATTTAATCCCCATGTGTCCTTGACAACCTTTGGTGCATTGATTCTCTTGAAATTAATTAACCATTTTGATGCCAAATTTAGTATGTTTGAAAATCCAAGACTAATAGAGATTGATATTATTGATCCTAAAAATTCGATACCATTCTATTAAAGTAAAATAGTTAATACATGATTTCAAATTTGTAGTAGCTTAATATTTTTATTTTTTATATTTACATTTATAACTTCTAATCTATTATCCCATTGAACAAATGAAAATAGAACATTGAAAAAATCAGTTGTATCTTTTTCACTCTCATTAAATATTTTTGAATAGTTTAAAATTGAATATAACCTATTTGAACTATCTGACTTAATTGATAAAGTATATAAAATTTCTGAAAAACCTAATTAAACAATGTTAATAACTAGTTTTAAATGACCCTATAATTATGAATGAACAAGATGACGATACATACATTCTTTGTTATTCCATTTATTTTCAATAAATTTATTGTAAATATAAAACAAAAAATCTAAATATTTATCGTCTACAGAAGATGATATTGATGTTGAGAATTGTAATAGTTTTTTAAAAAATGCTATATTGTTATTGGATTGTCCATCACACAGAGATTGATATAAATTATTTAATTGTCTATCGTTATTATTACTATTTTTTTTATTGGTATTATTTATAAAATTATTGTAGATTAAATTAAACTCCTCTTCTGAAGATGACAACTCTCCACTTTCAATTTCCATTGTTAATATATATTTAATTAAAAAGAAATGATTAATTTAAAAAAAAAAAATTAAAAAAAATGAAAAAATTAAATTATTTTTTTTATTTTTTTTAAAATTTTTTTTTTTAAAACAAACTATTTTCAATATCTAAATAATCCCTGTAGGATAGTTACCACAAATCCATTCACTAAAAACATTTAATATTAAACAAATTAAATAAAAATAAAAGATAACTGTGGAATTTAAAATAATTTTTTTATTTTTTTTATTCTTATTTCTTTAAAACTTCAGGATTAAAAGGTAAAATTAAATCTGAAGGATATTTTGAGTCGATTGAATAATTTAATGCTTCTTTTAATTCAGTTTCGATTTGTTTGTTTGAAGAAGGATTGGTTGTTAACATTAAAAAGATTTTTTCTTGGTCAAGGAAAGGTTTAAAATAACGATTAAAGACATCCATGATTTGTTCGAATGTTACAGACTTGAATCTATTTAAAAGTTCAACTGATTGATGGAAACTCTTTAATCCTTTGAAAACATTGATATAAGATTCGATGATGATTTCATTTGGAGTTGATCTGATTGAATAAAAGTCATAAATTTCGACACAAACTGCAGTTTCTATTGATAACTTGTTAATAATTTCGGTTGGATTTGATTCAACAGCTTTAAGCCATTTATAAAACTCTTCTAATGCTTTAATTGGCGAAGCTGATTCTATTAAACAAAATACCAAACAACTTCTAGTTAAATCGGTGGTAAGGCTATGGCTGTATGCATATCCTTTCTTACGAATTTCACCCTCTTTAGAGTTGAATATATTACAAAGTAAGTTAATTGCTGGATAATCTGGGCTTAATGAAGTAATTGGCAATGGTACATATTGAATTAAATTATTTGATTCAGAACCTCTCATGATGAGTTGCTCTACTTTTGGTGATGGAATTTTAGTTTTGACACGTTGTAATGGTTGAAAATATGGTATGGTCTTTTCAACATTTGGTTGCCCTTTATAAATTTGTTCGGTTGGTTTTCTCTTTTTATTTTGTGAAATATTAGATTCCGATAAAAACTTGCTCCATTGATCTGTAAACTCTTTAACCATATCTATTGATTTATCGGATGATTCAGAGAGCGATACTTGAACAAACATTGCCTCTGGGTTTGAAAGAATGCAATCACGTACTTGCATAATCTTTGAAATAACTAATTCTTTTTCTTTTTCATCGTTACCTTTTAAAATAGCTTGAATTGATTTTAAAAACTCTTTTTGTTTGAATACAGAAATATTTGTATCGTGAGCTTTTTGTTTATCGGTTGCTAAATCATAAATTGCGCTAAGACCCAACATCTGAGTTGAGTCATTCATCATATCGTTGAGGTTGGAGATGAATGATGGAATCAAAGACAATAATCTCTTTGGTGTTAATGAAAAGTTGAATAACATATTCAAGACCCAATATAAGAGACGGTCATATTTATCAACTTGGCATGAGGCTGTAACTCTAAAGATTTCAGCTGATGAACAAGAAAAGGTATTATTTGAAAAACCAAGAACAGCTTCGTAACTGAGAACCTCTTCTGAGAGTTTTTGACTAACTTGTTTATATGGGATAGTTATATCTTTCTTTTTTGTTTCTGGATTGAAAACCTTTAAATCAGTTTCATAAGTAATTAATTGGAAGAGAGTGATAAAAGGACGTAATTCATCTGGAATGCTATTTTGGGCATAGAAGACGATTGCTGTATGAAGGAAATGTGTATTAACCAATACTTTTTGAATAGCATATGGATTTGGATTCTCGTTGGTATATGGATACATCAACTGGGTCTCTAACTTTGGTAATGGAATCTTTTTGATATCAAAAATTTCTTTTGGGAATAAATGTGTAAACTCTTCTGGGAATGATTTGTTTGTTTCGATTGCTTGCTTAACAAGTTCGCCATTCTTTTTCATACCTTCTTCACCATACTTTTCGCAAATATCCTTTTGTCTTTGAATTGTATTTGCTGCAATAGTTTCTGAAAGCTTTGAATCTGGCTTTAATATAATTTCTACGTATGGGGCATCGATAAAATAACGGTCTATTAAATCAAACCAATATTCATCTGGCTTTTCTTTTAATTCATCAAAAATAGTTTTGATTTGGAACTTGGCTCTGACATCTTTAAAACCATCGGTAGTTCCAATTAATGGGAATGCTGCTGATGTTAAAAGGTAGCTAAAAATTGTTCCTAATGGATCCTCTTCAAACCCTTCAAGAGTCTTGATATATTCTTTATCTATAATCTTTTTCATTGTATCTTTTTCTGGGAAACCTTTTTCTCTAATTTCTTTGAATAAACTAATTAAACGATTATAAATAGATTTTTCATTAAATAAATTATTATCACCAACATCTTCTTCATTTTCTTCTTGATTTTCTTCATCAGAATCTTGGTTATCATCGTCTTCTTCGCTTTCCTCCTCACTTTCTTCTTCATCATCATCATTTTCCTCTTCCTCTTCCTCTTCCTCTGCTCCTTCTTTTCCCTCTTCTTCTTTATGGTTACCATTTGATTCACCATTAGCTAATGATTCTTCATCTTGTTTATATTTTACTGATAAACCTGAAAATTCAATAGTGATTTTAGTTTCTTTAACTTCATGAACCATACCATAAACACTTGATGCTATTGGAATTGTTTTATTTACAAATCTTTGATTGAATGGCGAAGATGAATTATCCTATTTAAAATAAAAAAGGTATTAATATTATAAAATTATAAGAATAATGATATTTAAAATGTTAATATTTACTTGGAAATATCTTAATAAAATTGATAAAGCATTAATTGTAAATGTATCGTTAATTGATGGACCTCTCCAACCAATTGAAACACTTCCAGTATCAGATTCTGATGGAAATGGAACGAATGAAGATTTTGATTTTAATAATGGTGGGATTGGATCTTTCCATGGAATGAAATCATTATCCTCAGCACTATCGACATGAAATGGACTAGATTTAAATTCTACTTGATCCAATACTTTGAAAATATTTTCCATATCAATGCAACCTTGAATAATAATTGTCATAAACTTTGGTATATAAAATTTACCGTGATAATCTCTGACCATTTGATTAGTTAATGTTGCAATTTCTGCTGTCAAACCACCGTATGAGTATTGGTATCCGCAACCTTCAAATATATTTTTACACATATTAAACTCTAATAAATCATCTGATGTATTTTCTCTTGCTTGCATTTCACATAATACTACACCTTGATCTTTGCCATTGGAATCTAAATGATAAACTTCTGTGACTAAAATAATTTAAAAATATATTAGTTTATTATTACTTTATTAATGTTTATAAATTAGATTGTACTTACCAAAATCGCTATCTTTTAAGGTTGGAGTTAAAATAAATTTTAAATATTGTGGCAAATAGGTTAAAATACCTTCAGGACCAACTGACTCTAAAGAATAGCAAGTATGATCTTCGGATGTATAGGCATTTGTAGGAGCAGATAAACAACGATTTGAAAGTACTTCTAAAAACTCTCTGTATGGTATATCTTCGCAACCAGTGAAAATTAAATGTTCTAATGTATGTTGTAAACCTTTGTTGTTGAAAGACTCTGTTGGTACTACAATATTAGCATTACATTTTGGACCTGGACAATAATTTAATAATAGTGTAATGCCGCTCTTTTTGTGAATAAACTTTTTAATATTACTATCCTTTACAAGTGGTACATCAAATTCGTCAATAAATTTAAATTCCTTTGTTAATGTTTCATAATTGATTCCATTATTATTAGACATATTATATATTTATTATTAATACTTTTTTTTATTTAATTATCTGAAATAAAAAATAAATATAAAAAAAATAAATATAAAAATTATTGATGAATTTTAATTTATAAAAAAAATAAAAAATAAAAATAAAAAAATGAAATGAAAAAAAATTAAAAAATAAAAAAAATAAATTTACGAAACTCACAAAAAAAAAGAAAATAATTAAAATTATGAGAAAAATACTATGAGGAAAATATTCTCAAAAGGTTAGCAATTTCTTTTTAAAGAAATATTATTTCTTAAATACTAATAAATTTTATAAAAACTCAAATTTAAATTTAAGATTGTTAAACAAAAAAAATGATAAATTTTTATAGTCCCATATAATGTTAGTATTGATCAAAAAAGTTATATTGGCATTATTTACTATGAAAAATTTTTTATAAATAAATTCAAATTAATTAAAAATGATAAATTTTTATAGTCCCATATAAAGTTAGTATTGATCAAAAAAGTTATATTGGCATTATTTACTATGAAAAATTTTTTATAAATAAATTCAAATTAATTAAAAAAAAATTAAAATTAAACAAATATTTTTTTTTCGATATAATTTAAAGAGTTATTGTTGTATATCCATCAAATTTAAATTATAAAAATAATTTTAACCAAAATTGTAATTATATATTTTTATTTTACCTTTTAAAGAACACAATATTTACTTTGAGAATATTTTTTTTCATTTATTTTAAACACACAGAATTTTGATTATTTTGATTTTATTGTGTATTGGCTTGGGGGTATCATAAAAATTATTTATAGCTTTTTTGTTTTTTTTAGGAATAATTTTAAAATAATTTAATATTATTTTTCCCACCAAAATATTTTTTTATAAATTATAATAAAATTAGGCATTCCTTAAATCCAAATAAAGAAAAAAATCAATTATAATTAATTTTAATAGATCTATGTTATTAAAAAGGAATAAAAAAAATTATTATAGTTTGAATTTAAACTATACCACACTTTTTTTTTTATTTTTTACACAAAATTTTGATTATATTTATATTTATTTTGTGTTTGAGTGGGTGAATTAAAAAAGAAATAATATAAAAAAATAGAATTAATATACATTTAATTTAAATATTTACAAAAAATTTCCCCAAAAGAAAATTTTTGGAGAATGTGCTAAAGTGTGTATGGCGAATACACATTTTTATAGAATGTAAATGATGTAAAAAAAAGTAAAAAAAACTACCCAAATAGAAATCAAATTGTTTCAAATAACTTAATTAATTGTTGTTTTCTTTTTTAAAAAAGTATAAATACCTTGTTTTTTATTCTGTTTATTATCAATTTATTAAACAGGGATTAAAAACAAAATGACAATTATTAATGTAAATATAGTTTTAATTTATAAAAAATTATAAAAAGAAAATTAATTTTTTTATTCTTTTATATAGACAATTAACAAAATTACTGGACCATCGTCGTCATCATCATCGTCTATAAAAAATATAACTAGTACAAAAGAGTTTTATAGTTCTAATTCAAATGCAACTGTTATCGATAAAAACAGTATGTCATATTACCTAACACCAATGGGACCAATTGAAGGCCAAGATAAATGCACCATTTTATAAAAAAACAAATACATAAAAAATATATAAAAAATAAAAATAAAAGTCTTTTTAAAAAATAAATATTAAACTTTTTAATGTTATAGTTTTTTTAATGTTTTTTTATTTTTTTAGTTTTTTTAGTTTTTTTAAAATTTAAATAAAATTAATTAATTAAAAGCAGAAATAATACCAATATAATTAAATGGAGTAATTTTCTTTAATTCAGATTTAATATCGTCTGGAATTGAAAGTGAATCGACAAAGTTGTGAATATCATCTTGAGAAATTTTTTTAGATCCACTAACACGAGTTAATTCTTTGAGAGCTTCGTATGGTTTTGGGAAACCTTCACGACGAAGGATAGTTTGAATAGCTTCTGAAACGACGGCCCAGTTAGAATCAAGATCTTTAGAGATGTTTGCTTCATTTAAAACTAATTTAGAGAGACCACGTTGGATTGATTTTAATGAGAGTAAGGTGTGACCAAATGGGACACCAATGGAACGAAGTACAGTTGAATCGGTTAAATCTCTTTGAAGACGAGAAATTGGAAGTTTAGCAGATAAATGTTCGTAAAGAGCATTAGCAACACCCATGTTACCTTCAGCGTTTTCGAAATCGATTGGGTTTACTTTGTGTGGCATTGTTGAGCTACCAACTTCACCTTTAATTAATTTTTGATTAAAGTATTCCATAGAAATGTAGGTCCAAATATCACGGCATAAATCGATTAAAATGGTGTTGATACGTTTGAAGCAATCTAATAAAGCGGCAACGTTGTCATAATGTTCGATTTGAGTGGTGAAACGCATTCTCTTGAGGTTTGGATGTAAAGTTTTAACGAATGATTCTGAGAATTCTACCCATTTAACTTGTGGATATGAAACATGATGAGCGTTTAAGTTACCAGTAGCACCACCAAATTTGCATGTATGTGGTAAAGAGTTTAATTGAATGATTTGATTCTCTAAACGTTCAATAAAGACCATAAATTCTTTACCGACGGTGGTTGGTGTAGCTGGTTGGCCATGGGTACGGGCTAACATTGATACATCTCTCCATTGTTGAGCAAATGATTTTAATGGCTCTAAAATAGATGATTTTAATTGTGGTACCATTTGTTGTTCGACTGCTTCGATAATTGATAATGGAATAGCAGTATTGTTAATATCTTGTGATGTGAGACCAAAGTGAATAAACTCTGTAATAACTTCGCTGTATTGGAAATCTTTTTGCATTTTTTCTTTAATAAAATATTCTACTGCTTTAATATCGTGATTGGTGGTCTTTTCAGTTTGTTTAATTTTTAATGCATCACTTTCATCAAATTTGGTATAAATTTCTCTTAATTTGCTGTGTTCATCTTCTTTGTTTAAATGATTTAATGGTTTGACATCTGGGATCTTTGTTAATTGAATGAAATACTCAACTTCAACTTGAACACGATATTTGATCAATGCATACTCTGAAAAATAATTGCTTAATACTTGAACTTGATTCCAATATCTACCATCAATTGGTGAAATTGCTGTTAAATTATTTAATAAAATACTTGTTTGTTGTGACATTATCTTTATTGTTATTACAATTTTAAATTTAATTTAATTTTTTTTAAAAAAATAAAAAAAAAAATTTAATTTAAAAAAAATAATTTCATTTTTCGTAATTTGGTCAAAAAAAAAAAAAAAAAAAAAATTAATATGATATTATAATAATTTAATAAATTGATCAAAATAGCAAAAAAACAACTGTTGTTTTTTATTATTCTATATTTACATTGATGAATGTATATTTATAATTATAAAAAAAAAAATAAAAAAAAATAAAAAAAATAAAAAAATAAAAAATGTGTGTTTTAAAAAAAAAAGAAAAAAAAAAAATAAAAATTTTTTTTTATTTTATTTTTAGGCACCATCGGTATTGTTTGTAATAAAAAAAGAATTTTCGGGACAATATTACAAAATAATAATAAAAAGAAATAAAAAAACAAATTTATATAATTATAATTATTTTTTATTGTTTATTTTTTTTTTTTAAAATAATAATTTAAATCATGTATATTTTTATAAAATAAATTACTATTTGTGTTTTGTTTTGTTTTTAGGTAATACTATATACTTTTTATATTATTTATAAAGAAATAAAAGCCAAAATAGCAGAAATTAATAATAAGGAGATTTGGACAGTTGATGATGATGAATGATGTTCATCAGAGGTTTCAGAATCACTATTACCACCAATGGATGAAGCAGTAGTTGGGTTTGAAGTAGTTCTACCAGTTGAGGTTAATGGTGTGACAGTACCAGTAGTATGACCTTTACCGCCAGTTGTAGCAGTTGAAGTTGATTCAGTTGATCCAGTAGCAACACCACCAGTTGTAGCAGCGGCAGTAGCAGCACCAGTAGCACTTGTACCAGCAGTTGTAGCTAAATTACCAGTACCATTGGTATCATTGGATGAAGCATAACCTGAAGTTGAGGCATGTGGTGAAGCAATGAAAAAGATGTTATCAATGTGGATATAGGCATTGACGTTATCAGTGTTGGCAAAGGTGATGGCAGATTCAATTGATTTGTGTTTTAAAGCAGAGAATGGAACAGTGTAAGTAGTCCATGAAGTTGAAATTGGGGTTTTTGGTGTCCAGAATTTAGATTCTTCACTTGGGAAATAAACACGGAAGCCTTCAAGGGTAGTGTTAGAACGAATATTGAATTTAATACCAGTGAAATATGCAGTGTCAAAATCACCAGAACGAGCTAAGGTGAGTGAAGATGAGGAGCCTAATAAAATGATGGAAAGTGATGAAGTTGAACCATTGCTATGCATTGATGTATCGGTGGTGTTGATGGCGCTGTATGATCTTGATGACCAGTAGTTCCAACCTTCAGTCAAGCCATTTTGGTAGATGGTAAGTGGGGAGGCAGAGAGTGAACAGGTTTCTGGGGCTTTCTTAATAAGACCTTTTGGAACAACAAAGTTGTCGCTAAATTTAAGAACATCTTTGTCCAAGGATTTTAATTCAAGAGTAACTGAACCACCGTATTGGGATGATACAGTAACGGTAGCTGGGAATGTCATTTCTTTACCGGCTTCACTCCAAACAAATTGGGCACTGTTTTGACGAACCATTGGAACTGCAGTTTTCATTGATTTGCTCTTGATGGTAACATCTTTGATACCAAGGTTATTGTTGAAAATTAATAATTTGACGTAATACTTTGAACTATCTTCAGAGACTTGTGCTTTAATTGGGGCGGCATTGGCATCACAACTGACTTTTCTAAAACCAGCATCATAGATAACTGATAATGGATCATTGGAAATTTCAGAGAAGGCATCTGGAGTTAACATGAACAATGGTTTCTCAGATGGACATGTACCGGCAGAACAAAAATTAACAACTCTTACAACAGTTTTACCTTTTGGTCCAGAAATTTCAAAACAATCACCGCACTTGACGCCACTGCTATAGAAATATTCATTAAGGGTTGCTGTTAATGTACCTGGTCCAGTTGGTCCGTTGTATGGCCCATATTCACAAGATCCTGATTTATTCAATGACTCTGTACCTTGTGCTCTACCAGACATACATAATGTTAATGGTACATTATCAATTGCATTAGCAATTGAAAATAAAATTGTAAATATTAATATTAATTGGAGTAATAATCTCATTTCTTCTTTAATTATTAAAATAAAAACTATAATTTAAAATTCTATTACAAAATTATTATTATTATTATTATTATATTTTATTATTATTATTATTATAATTATTTAATTGATTGTTATTTTAATGATTAAATAAAATTTAAAAATAACTATTTATATTAAATTTAAAAATAAATATAAAATATAAATTAAATAATATAAAATTAATTAAATTAAAATATATATAAATAATATATTATTATTCTCATTGTTTAATCAATTTATTATTTTTATTATACATAAATTACATATACATACCACACTATCACCACATCACCACACCTACATCTCCTATACTCTTTCTCTTTTAATGATTAATTATTTTAATTTCGGACCTTTCCTAATCTATAAAAACTTAATAATTGTTAACCCAATTTATATTGGACATATTTTGTTTTTATGATTTTTGTTTTTAAAATTTTATTCTATTATTATTTAATAAACCCAAACAAAAATACACTATCTATGACTTGTCATCATTTTTTTTTTGATCATTTTAATTTATTAATTATTTTTTTAAATTACTAAATATAATATTAGTTTTATATTTAAATAGATAATAATATTAATAAGTTAACAATTTTTAATAAAAATATTATTATGAATAAAGTGATAAAATCAATACATATTATAATAGTTATTTATATGGACTGATATCAAAGTGGGGGTTGTGTGGGTAAAATAAATAAGTAAAAAAAATAAATAAATAAAAAAATTAAAAAAAAAAAAAATTATATGTGTGATGGGGGTAAAGAAATGTAAAAACTAAAGTTTTAAAAATAATGATATATATAAAATATAATTTACTTATTTTAATATTTATTTATTAATAATTTTAGAAAGAAGATCGAAATAATTTAAAACCGGTCTATAGTTTTAAATATTGTTGATAAATTGTATATTAATTGGAATTAATTGATAATTTTTTTTTTTTTGTTTTTTTTTTGTTTTGTTTTTTTTGTAAAAATTAATAATTTATTCTTCAAAGCTAACATTAAAATCGCCTTCTTCTTCATCATCATCTTCTTCTTGTTCTTCATCGTCATCTAAATTCTCTTGTTCTTCAAATTCTTCATCATCTTCTTCAACTTCCTCTTCTTCCTCTTCACCCTCAATACCTTCTTCACCTTCTTCTTCTTCACCTTCAACACCTTCTTCTTCTTCTTCGTCTTCTTCGCTATCTTCAGATGGTTCATAGTCGGAATCGTCTTCGTCTTCATTATATTGGAATTGATTGTTTTCATTTGTTAAACCATGCATTTGAAGGGCTTTTTGATATGAACCGCCGGCCATGCTCATAATGGATGAAATAAATGTATTGGCTTTGATTAACTTTTCTCTTTGTTTAGCCATATACATTCTTTTGTAAATTTCTTCATCGGTGGCTTCGTCCAATGAAGTAAATGTGTTCATTGCAGTGTTTTTTAAAATTGTGATTTGAGATGGTGATTTTCTTGTAGCACTTGGTTCTCTTCTCTTTGCTGGATAATATAATCTTCCTCTCATAACATTTAATCTTTTGATTTTAAAACTAACACCATTATTTAATTTCTTTATAACCTTATTATATGTGGTTGCTTTTTGATACTGTGAGATCATATCTGTGATATTTTGTAGTTTTTGAATTTGAGCATCCATTTTTTATTATTATTATTATTATTTTATTTATATAAAAAAAGTAATTATGACCCTTTTTTTTTTTTTTCGACAATTTCTTTTTTAAAAATTTGAAAAATTAAAAATAAAAAAAATTAAAAAAAAAATTAAATAAATAAATAAATAATTATTTAACTGATTTTTTAAAATATATTATATAAAAATAAATAAAAAAACTAAAAATGTATATATATTAAATATATAAATTTATAAACATTTAAATTTATTAATAATAATTATTCATTTATTTATAAAAATAGTATTCCCTCCAAAAAAATTTTTTTTAAAAAATTTTTTTATTTATTTTTTAAATATATTAAACGGGTAATTACATTAATTATTATAGAAATAATGATTTAAAAACAAAGAATGGTTTTATTTATAAAATTTTTTGGAACCTAATTTTTAAAATGGTAACTATTTAGATATATTTATAATACGAAATTATTCTCATATTAAATTTATCTTTTTTACCCCCTATTTAGGTTTTATTTATAACACCTATTATTAATAAAAAAAAAAAAACAAATAATTTTTAAAATGTATTTATTTTTTTATTTTTATTTACACCACATAAATAATTAATAATAAATGAATTTCGAAATTATTAGTGATATAATAAAAAATGATAAACAATTTAATTTTAGGGATTATTATGGGTACCTATCAAACAAAGAAATTACATGGAAAAATTATAATCAACTTTACCCATTTCCAAAAGAGAATATAATTTCAGTTTTATATAGCTTAGCAAGGAAACATAATATCTGCACAAAAAATGTTCACCACTCTATTTGGTAATATTACAACTTTTCCCCACATTTGAAAAGAAATAAACAAATAATTTTTCATGCTAATACTTTTTTTAAAATATAGCCTAATTCAAAGATATTTAGGATTGGTAGAGTTTAATAATTATAGGGTTAATTATAAAAAAAGTGGGAATGAAAATATAAATTCAAAAAAATATAGTGATATTCAGCTTTCAATTTGTGCATTAAATATTAGTTGTAAATTAAATAATGTAATATGGTGCAAAACCGAAGGGTTTAAACTTATCGTTTCAACATATTTTAGCAGTATCAACGAGTATCAGAAGTATGAAATCGAGTTTTTAAACATTATCAGATTTTATTTAACAGTACCTTTAATCAGTGATTTCGTTGGTGTTATTATTGATGGTTTTTATTTAAACGATAGACCTACAACAGAATCAAATTATAACGAAATCATTGACTTCATTTATTATAACCCAAACCAATTTTTAACGAAACCTTTCACTCTCATTGCACTGTCAGTACTATGTATAACATTTTCAATTAACGATTATAAACTATTAAAATATTATATAAAGTGGGGTAAAAGACATACTTCTAATGTTATCTATTGTTTTTATTTTAAAATATTAATTAGTTTTCTTTTTTTTTTTTAACTCTTAGCCACAAACATTTCAAATTATACATATCAAGCAATTCAAATAGAGGTAGATAAGATTGTAAATACAATATTTAAAGATAAAATGACATTAAATATTTTCAAAGATCAAATCTGGCTACAAAATTCAAGAGAATAAAGATAAAAGAAAATAAATAAAGATTATAATAGATTTTTTTTTTTATGTTTTAATTTTATTTTTTCTTTTTTTTTTATTTAATCATTTAATAATCTATAACGATCACCTTTTGAATTTTTAACATAAAAGTATAGCGAAAATATTATTAATACTGATCCGATTGAAGTGAATACACAATTGGAAATTGCCAATAAAAGACCATTTCTGGGATAAAGATTTTCTTGATGGAATATATTGGAGCCGTTTACACCATCAAATGAAATGGTTTTGGGGAATCTGCTGGCAAATAAAATAGTCGCTGCTAATTCTAGTATAGTACCAACAATATAAATGAACCTAAATAACAGGAAATAATAAATTAACTTTGGATTTCTTGAAACCGATACCAAGTCTATAACCAAATAATTAACCTCTACAACCAACAAACTTATTGAAAAAAATATAAATACTATATTTAAATAAAATACACTTTTGACTGTCTCTATTGTACTCTTTTCACTTGGTCCGCAATCTTTATCAATAAGCTTTCTTTCATAGAGACATATATGTTCGTGATTCGAATACCTGTTTCCGTTTCTATCAATTGTAGAATTAAATATTGGTTGTGAACTTTTAATTGATATATATTTTAAACTGTATTCTACTGTTAAATCGGTTGTATTGGTACCAATTTCATTATTTATATATGTATAATTATATAATCTTTGTTCTAGCCATATTTGGTTATCTGTATATAAATTAAGTGTATAAGTAAAATTTTTAGTAAATAAAATAAATAAAATATTTAAATAATTTTATCAATATACCTTTTATAGAAACTGATGAAAAAATTAATGAAATTATAAAAAAAAGTAAAGATATAAAAGATAATATTTGATAAATTTCAAATTTTTTCGAAAACATATTATACTATAACTATATTTTTTTTTTTTTTTTTTTAATTTGTAATTAATTCGCTTAATTTCTAAATTACGAATTTACTTTTTTTTTTTTTTTTTTTTTTTTGATTGGAATTATTCAAAAAACTTTTTTAAAAAAACTATTGAATATACAACTTAAATTAAAAATAAAATAAAATAAAATAAAATACTTTTTACTTAAATTAACCCAACTCAAAAAAAAAAAATAAAAATTATTTAAATTAAAATAATATTAGTTATAATCAATAAATTCTAAGGTTTTCAGAAACAATTATAACCTTTGCCATAAATCAGTTGGAAATCGTCATTTTTTAAATTTTTAATTTTTAATTTTTAATTTTTAATTTTTTTAATTTTTTTTTTTTTTTTTTTTTTTTTTTTATAAATGAATGAAATTTAAATGAATTGGTTTTCAAAGATAAAAAGCAATTTTTTAGAAAATTTAAAATGATCATTTAAAAGGATCAATTTAAACTATAGTTTCTTATATGTTTTTTACATTAAATAATTTTTTTTAATTATTTAGTTTTTCTTTTATTTGATAAAAAATTTAATGTTTATAAAATTTAAATGTAACACCAACAACACCTTGTGGTGGAACATCAACTGTAAAATCGAGTGAATTAGTTTGTGTATTTTGGTTGTATTGAACTTTTTCGTAGTTGAAAGCAGTTTTAGATTTGATATCATTGATTTGGCTAAAGGTTGGATATTCTGGTGAGCCAATTGATTGCCAATAGGCGATTGGGTTGCAATTGTCATCATCGATACGACGTAAATAAGATTCACCAATTTGACCTTGAATATTGTTAAGGGTAATTGAAACAGTTTCATTAGAGATTGGGGCACCTGGGATATTGTGGTTGTAAACGATAACCATAATTTCGTCATTAGAAACAGTGACTAAAGTACCAGCAGTTGGATGTTCACCTTGGACAAAGGCTCTTTGGTTACCAGTTTCGTGAAGTAATTCAAAAGCTTTGAAGGATGGTTTTTCAATTTGGTAAATAGTTTGCATACCGAAACCTTCGTTGAATGGGACTGATTGTTGACCTTGTTCTTCGAAAACATCAGAGAAACTCCACCATGAGAAGATATCAGCAATACCATAGCAGTCAATAATGTTGAAAACAGCAAAAGCAGAGGCATAGGTGGTATCGTGAAGTTGTTGAGCGAAAAGACCATCATTGTATTCGGAATAGTAAAGTTTCATGTTTGGTCCAACGATTGAACGTGATTTGGTTAAAACTTGTTTCATGATATCTCTTTGAACTGGTTGGATATCAGTTGGGTATTCGTGAGTTGAAATGAAATCCAATGCTAAATTATTAGCTTTGGCGAATGCTAAGGTTTCTGGGATCCATTGTGATTGACATGTAGCTGGACCACCGACTGAGAGTTGTGGGTAAATGGATTTAATTGCATTAAAAGTGACTTGCATTAATTGGAAATATTCAGCTTGGCTACTTGACCAGAAACCACAGTTTGGTTCATTCCAAATTTCGAATTGCCATTGTGAAACAATATCCATACCATAACGATCGACAATATGGTTAATAAAAGCTTGAATTAATTCGGCCCATTGAGTATAGTTCTTTGGTGGGGTGATGTTACCTTTGTAGTGGAAAATAGTGGCATTTCCTGATGCTAAAAGTTCTGGCATAAAACTTAATTCGACATATGGAGCCATACCAATTTCAACAATATAATCATAAACTTGATCTACATCATACCATGAATAAATAGCTTCACCATTTGGTCCTTGTTGATATACTGATAAATCATCATCAAAAATACCGTGGAATCTAACTCTTTGTAAACTGTATAAAAAAAAAAAAATTAAATTAATTTCTTTATTTTTTTTTAAATTTAATTTTTTGCCCTGTGTCGCCGAAATATACATACCCTAATTTTTCGTGAGCATTTAATAAAGCTGCTCTCCAATCTGATCTCATACCTAAATTAGCATGACCACTACCAACACAACCTTCCCAGTAATGTTGCCATTCTGTGGTGTTCTATAATTTTTTTAAAAAAAATTAAATTAATATCTTTTTTTTTTTTTTTTTTTTTTTTATTTATTTATTTTTACATACACCCAAATCAGCAGTAAATTGGGCTGATTCTGATGATTGTGATGAAACTAATTGTAATAAAACTAAAACAAATAAAGATAATGTAAATTTAAACATTTTATTATTGGTTTAATACCAGACTTAACGAAAAGAAAAATAATAAATATCAAAAAAATTTGGAAAAAATATCAAAAAAAAAAAAAAAAAAATTAAAAAAAATAAATAAAAAATAAATAATTAAAAAAAATCGGTTTTATGATTACAATCATCTTTTGTGTCATAAAAAAAAATATTTAAAATAATTAAAAAACGTCGGTTTGATGATGTCTTTTCATTTTTTTTTTTTTCACTGGGAGGTTTTTCCAAATTAATATTCATTTAAATGGTATTAAGTGGGTTATTAAATTTTAAGATTTTAAATTTTAATTCAAAAAAGATAATTTTAATTAATCTATTATATTAAATTTTATTATTAATAGATAAAATCTAAATTATATTAAATTTAAAGATTTGGTTTTTAATTTTACAATTTTTAATTTCAAATTTATTAAATTAATACATTTTATTGGCATTGATTTTAATTTTTTTGTTCCTAAATTCACTTTGTTTTAAAATTTTGACTCCGTAATTGCTTTAGAATTTTTTACCCTAATTTTAAAAAATAAATTAGACATTTCCAAAAAAAAAAAATATTTTAATTTATATTTTTTTTCCTTTTTTAAAAAATAATGATTCTATGATCACCATTATTATAATATCTTATTATTCTAAATTATAACTACAGCTTTAAAAAAAAAATAAAACGTTTTTAATTACTATTAATTATTTGAAAAAAAAAACTATTGGTGGTATCAAAAACATCATTTTTTTTTTTTTTGGGTTTCTTATAATTAATAATCTCCTTAAAAGCGGAAATCATGATTTTTCATTTTTGAATATTTGGGAAAAAGAAAAAAACTGGTATGTACCAAAAATATTGTGGAAAAAAAAAAAATTATAATTTATCTTGATATTTTTTTGATCCAAAAAAATTTTTACAAAAAAAAAAGTGTAAATTTACAATTTTTACACGAAAACACAATATTAAAAAAAATTATTGATCTGTTATTAGTACAAATTATTAATATTTTTTTTTTTAAAAATTTTTTTTTTTTTTTTTTCAAATAAATTTTTTCAATTCATTTTTTTATTTTTAATTTTATGCACAAAAACAGTATTGTGTTTTAAAACAATAGTTTAAATTAGTTATATTTGAAAAAAAAAAAAAAATAAAAAAAAATAAAAAAAATGAAAATATATCATATTTTTGTTTTATTTTTATTTTTTATAATTAATAGTATTTATGCTGATGCTAAGACATTAGTAAATCCATGGGTATTTACAGATAGAGATACTTTATATGACCAATTAATTTCAAATACCCACATCCCATTATTTGGTAATGATAATTTAAATAATTGTCTGTATGGTTTAAAAATTCAATTAAATTGGCAAAAAACATCAGGTAAATATAAATTAAAAATAATATTACAAATAATAATATAAAAATTATAAAAAAAAAATAAAAAAAGATTTGGGGTAAAATAATTCAAAAAAAAATAAATACCCCCTGCTTTAAAAAAATATTTGTATGTAATTTTTAGTATTAATATATAAAAACTTTTTTTTTTTAAAAATATTAATATAGGTAGATTATTAATGAACAATACACCAAATATTGATATTAATTCATGGTGGGGAAATATGAATTATTATTTATCAGTAATTCCATATCTTTCAGCAATGAAGTTATCAATTGTACCAGAAATTGAGATTTCATATAACCCAAATCCAAGTAAATTTTGCAACACTTATGAATCATGTGATCAAGATTTAATGAATGCATGGGATACATTATTCGAATTAATTTTAGCAAATAAAAATAATACCACTACCACTGAAAGAGAAATATTACGTGTAATGTGGGAGGCTCATACCGCAACTATTAAACATGCACAACCTTTAATGGAAACATCCTCATTCCCACTACTCAAAACTCACGAAAGAAAGTTTGGTAATGGCTGGTGCCACTTTGTTCAAGTTATTGCTGAGGTTAACTTTAACACCAATGATACCAATGTCTCTATCCTCGGAAAAGCTTTACCCCAAAGAATGCTCAACAAGATTACAGATATTCCTCCATTCATTTCCGATATGAGCAAAGAGACCAATAATGTAGTATTGTCCATTTTTATGATAAGCGACTTATCCAATAATAAACTATTTTGGGATGGTTTTATCGATTTATTACAATTATTCACAAAAAATCCACAATGTCAAGATTTAATAAATCAAGAAATAACAAACTTTATAAATAACCCAGTCCCAACAATATTAAACGTATTAATAGATATCATGTTAAATAAATGTTAAAAATGATAAAAATAAATAATATGAAATAATAAAACATAAAAATAAAAATAAAAATAAAAATATTATTTATAAAGTTAAATTTATTTAAAATTTAATTTCAATGGCTTTAATTTCTAATGGGTTTAATTGTAATTTTGCATTTTTAGTATCCATTGGGTTATATCTTTTTGGTTCATCGACAACTGGATGAATTTTTCCACCAACTATACTTTTATATGAGGTTTGAATATTATCAATATTATTATCTTCGAATGGATTAACTAATGAAAGGTTGTATTCTTTTACTGATTTGATTTTCTTTATAAAAGTGAATAATCCATTCAAATCGATTTGTATTGGACTATTGCCTGGTTCTTGAAGATTTTGAACTCTAAATTTGATAGATTTGCTGGTTGGTCTTTCGAGGGTGAGGATATGAATATAATTTGGTAATTTTTTATTAAGGAATGAAACAGATCTTAATTTTTCCTCATTTACACCTTGGTAGATGGCTATTTTATGGTCATAGTTTAATGATGAAACTCTGACATCATCTGAATGATCATGTGTGAAATAGCATTCAAAATGTGCGTTGATGGGTGATTCATCAATGGCTGGTACCTCTAAACCTTTACTATCCTCCCATGTGAGTGAACGGTGAATTGCAAATTCTAAACATCCATTACATTGACTTGAAATACCTCTTGTACGATCATGGTTACAAACGAAATTAAGACCGGTTTTCTTTGATTTAATTAATGAGATGTGATTTGATGGGTAATATGATTGAGTTTCTTTACCAATGGCTGGTGGTTCAGTTGTATCTGATGGACGATAAATTAATTCTAAACCATTATCACTATATATATCACGATTGTTATCTATATCTGTTGAAAATTTATTAACAGTTGTAGTACCATTTACACCTTTTACATGTAAAGTGAATTGAATCTTTGAATCTAATTGTTCATTACCAGTATTTAATAAACGAATGGTATTGAATGTGAGTGAAGTTGTCAAACCATAATTTACACCATACATTCCTCTGTTTTCGACTCTATCTTGAATTACTGATTGGGCTTCTTGATAAAATTTACCAATATATGCAATGGAAGAATAAACCCTTCTCTCTGGCTCAAAGATTTTCTTTGAGGTTCTAAAAATATAGGCACCACCAATATCGGAATAAGTAAGCAACTCTTGATTTAAATTTTGAAGAGAGTTTTCTTTAAAGTTAAAACAGCTTTTGGCAAAATATCTTTCATTTAAATTAATTTTGAATAAATGATTTTGAATACTTGGAATGATTGTGGTTGTTGGACGAACCCAATTTGATAGTGTATTTCCTTCAACATTTCTTCTGAGTATGTATTTCTTTGAGCTAAATGGTTTGATTTCTATTGGGAAATCTATTTGAATATATTCAATATTATTTTCAAGATTATAATCTGAACGTGGGCTACAGTCCATTTCAATAACAAAATTTGAATTTTCTTCTGCTAAAACATATGGGCAAATACTACCTCCATTTGCATTAGGATCATTTGTTTGAACTTTAACAGTAACTAATTCGTTTTTATCCCATGATAAGGAGTTCATTATTACAAATGGGACTTGTTGTTGGTCGGTATTAAAAACAAGTGGTTTGGAAAGATCAACAATAGAAAGTGTATCTGGATTCTTTGGATTTAATGAATTTGCAACTGACTTGGCTGAGGCACTCGAAACAATATCGTCTGCTTTAGATAATCTTGTTATATAATCTTGTACAACATGTTTCTTACTGGTTCCAGTAATGGCATCGTGATGTTGGATAATCGAAACTTGTTTAGATGCATTTAAAAGTTGATTATAAAAGTTTTCAACATTTTGGAATGATGAAAAAATTTCAGCAGCTCTTAATTTTGAAGATACAAATCTTTCATAACCCTTTAATAATGGTCTTGATGTATAGTATCCAGTCCAGTAGGTATTGGCATCGTCGGCATAGGGGAAGAAATCACTATCATAGTAGTTGAACTTAACTTTGTTTTCGTTATGCCATTGAACTGTTTCATTGAAAAATTCTTTTAATGTCGAATAAACAACCTCTACATTTGATTGACCCGAATTAAACTTTTCATTTACACATTGAACTACCTTATCCATTTGGTCATATGCTCTTTCAGCATTTCTGTAATTGAAATCACCACCAATTGGGATGAGAACATGTGGTGATTGATAAAATGCACTACGGTTTACACCTAATTGAGCTAGTTCACTGCAGAGTCTTGGAAGGCCATATGATTGGAAATTATAACCATCAAAGTTTAAATGTGGTGGGCTGGTATAAAAATCATCAAATACATGAGCAAGTATATCTGATTTTGGACCTAAACCTTCTGGACTACCTCTCCAAAGGAATTGTAAATTTTTATCCTGTTTGAATTTATTCTTTAAGGTATAATGAATACGGTTTAAAACGACATGTTTATAACCCATTTGTGCTTGAATTGTTGGAGTAAAAGATGAATGTCCAAAGGGGTCGATTTGCCACCCATTTTCAGGTTTCTTTCCAAAATGCTCTTGAATAAATTTATGACCATTTGAAAGCTGTCTAATTACACTATCGATACTTGGACAGGCCTCGTCATTCATTACCCAACCACCATTGATGAATTCGATTCTATCATCTTTAACATGTCTTGTAAAATCATCTTTTAAATTTTGAGGAACAACATCCCACCATCTTTCTAAAAATCCTCTTAAAAAAATAAAATAAAAATATTAATATTTTTTTGTAAAGTAATAGCTTTTAAATATTTAATTAATATATTTACATTTCTGACCAAACAAATTTTCTTGGTGGATTAGTTTCTTTATTTAATGCTGTAACCATTGTTGAAATAATACTTCTTACTTGTCCTGCATAATATTCCTAAATTTAAATATTTATTAGCACATGTTTAATATTTTTTTATTTTATTTTTAGTTGTAATACATACTTCAAAAGTTGATGTCCAACCAGAGTCACAATGTGAATGGCAAACTAAATGTATTTTTACCTTTCCTTCTTGTACATTTGCAAATGTATTAATTATTAATCCTAATAATAAAATACCAATATAAAACAATTTCATTTTAAGAAACTATTATTATTGCTATACTATTTAAAATATAACAACATAAAACTAAATTTAAACAATAAAAAAAAAACTAAATTTATTTATTTATTTTATTTTTTTAAATTTCATTAATTTAAAATAAAAATACAAAAAAAATAAATAAAAATAAAACAAATAATGATTAAGTCTGGTTCTTTTGTTTTATTTCTTTAATTAATTTTTTAATTGGTTTTATTTTTGCTATTGTTGTTGTTGTTTGATTATTGTATTATTATTATTTTTTATGTAAATATCTTTTTTATTATTTTTTGATAGTATAAACTCCAATAATACCCCAAAATAAATATTGAGATTACAAAACTATTATTTTTTATAAACAATCCAACAACTACAATTTATTTTTTTATTATAAAATATTTTTTAAAATTAAAAAAAAAAAAACAAAAATTAAATATCACATGTTTAATTTATTATTAGAATTTACTATTGCTTATATATTTTTTACAAATAAATGGTATACAATATATCATGATTTCGTTGCCAATATAAGGTAAATGATAGTTAACTATAATAATAAAGAATGTTGTAATAATTACCAATATTAGCATGTATCTTTTTCTTTCAGTAATAGAACCCAGTATTTTCATTTTATATACCCCTTTATAAATTATTTTAGGAATAAATGAAACAATATTATGAAAAATATTGTGTGTTATGTAAAAAATAGTGTTAATTTACGAATACAATTAGTATTTATCTCTAGGGGTTAAATTAGTGTTTTTTTTTTTATTAATTTTTTTTAGAAAATTTTCCCCCCCCCCCGACATTTTATCATATTAAACACAATACTATTAATGAGAGATGTTAATAGATTTTTTTTACTATGATATTATAAATCTTTGTTTTTTTTTTTCTAAATTAATTAATTAATTGACACTTGAGATTTTAAAATTTTATAATGAAAAAAAAAAAAAAAAAATTCTTTATATAGTTTTATTTTAAATATTTTATTTTATTATATTTGGTTGGTTGGTGAGGGTACAGTTGGTTTAATAGCAGGTGATGGGAAACAAACTACTGGTGATAATAGCATAAATTGTTCAGCTTGTTGTTTATATGGGCAAGTTTCACAATTACAATCTTCATTATGATCGGAAGAAGATGGATTTGATTTAACTTGAGAAGATTCATCGAATGTAAAAGACTCTAATAGATCTACCAATATATTTTTTTCATCATATTCTAAACCACTTATAAAATTTGAAAGCTCCAATGTCTTTTTACCATAATTATCTTCTTTATAAACTTTAATTACCTTATTGAAACTTTCTAAGAATTTCTCGGCTGTATTCTTATTGCTATGTGTATTTATATTATTATTGATTGTTAGGGCATTACCACCATTGACATGTTTTTTATGTTTTTTTGTTAGTAATGATGTTGTGGCGGTGGTTGAGGTTGATGTTGAGGAAATGGATGTGCTATCACTAATTGAGAATGGTGAAGATGGTGGAGATGTTGAAAAACCACATGATAGTAAATCAGACTCGGTATATTCGGTATATGAGGAATACTCTGTAACTGGTGGTGCCTGGATCCCTCTTTCTTTTAACATTTTCGATAGCAAAGTTGATTGATCTTGATGGATTCTTTCTAATGTTGTTAAACGATCGGTGAGGACATCAATAAATGTTTGTTTCTTTTCACAAACCCCATTTGGATCTTTTTTAATATGGTCTACTTTAGAAACTACACGAATTGGGAATGAAAGGACAGTATGAGTAGCACCATTTTTATTTGATGCATCCGGTGATGCAGTAACTAGTATATAAAACAAATTTCCCTGATGTTGGCTACTAAGGATTGATATTTTAATATCAATTGCAAATTGCTCCCCGTTCTTGCAACTACTCCCGACATAGGTAATTGGAGGATTTTGGATAAAACTAACTTCTTTTAATGGATCGCCAACATAGTATAGACCAGCTTTAACACAAGAAGAACTAAAGTTTACCTTACTGATATCCAATGACTTTATTTTTAATACAAATGAGGTGTTCTTTACAACAATGTGGACATTTGAGTTTCTATTATTAATAATTGCATTTTCAATTGAAATTGACTCTTGCTCGATTACCTCTAAATATGGTGATGAAGCGGAACCGCTGGTAATATTTATATTACTCATAGCCTGAGGACTGTTTCCTTTGGTTTTTGGACTATTATTTACACTTCCATTTAAATTCTTTTTAATTAATGGTGATGGTGGTTGTAGTTGAGAGTTTGGTTGGTGAAGATGAAGTGGTGTACCATTAGCACTTGAAAGTTGTAATGGTGTTGACATTAATGGAGTCATTGGTTTATTTTTTTGATTATTTTTTTCTTGTTGTTGTTGTTGTTGCTGTTGTTGTTGTTGTTGTTGTTGTTGTTGTTGTTGTTGTTGTTGTTGTTGTTGTTGTTGTTGTTGTTTTTTAATTAAATTTAAATGACCATCCATATGTGTTAAATTTGTTAAATTTGTAAAATTATTCATCATCAATTGTTGTTGAGTTTGTAAATCATAGTTCATATTTTATTGTATATGTTATATAAATTAATGATTATTTTTTTTTTTTATAAGTTTATTGTTATTTTTGTGAAAACTTTTAGAAAATAAAAAAATTTTTATTAATATTACTATTGTTATTTTAGATTAATTGTATGAGAGTGTGGTGTGTGTGTGTGTGTCAAATATTTGATTAGAATAAAAAAATAAATAAAATTAACAAAATAAATTAATAATAAAAAATTTAAAAAACAAATTAAATTAAAAATATATTACTAAATAAAAAAAATATTAATTCTATTACTTGTAATAAAATTATTTGATTTAAAATGTTGTGTTCGTAAATGAGTTTTAAAATAAATTAGTGGGTGTTTTTTATTTTAATTTTAATATTAAAATAACTATTAATGGTAAATGTTTTTTTGTTTGATTAATAATAACAATTATATGTGTTTTTTATTTGATTAGTAGATATTTATTGATTTAATTTTATAATTATTGTGATATGTGAAAAAATGGGTATGATGGCACTAATAGATTAATATTAGCTGATTGTTATTATTAAAAAAAATAATTATGGTGAAAAAATAATTATGGTGAAAAAATAATATGGGCTTTATTTTATTATAAAAATTTTATTTTGTAATTATAAAATATAAATAATTAATGTTTATCGGGTTTTCTACAAAAAATATGTATAATTTATTTATACTATTATTATAAGAAAATAAAAAACAAAATAACAAATTTAAATATTTAAATTAAAAAAAAAAAAAAAAATTAAATATTTAAAATAAATATATATTTATGAATACTTTTTTTATTTTATATAATTAAACACAATACTAATAATAGGTATGGCAATCAAATACCAATACAAAATAAAAAAAAATAAAAAAAATAAAAGTTCTACTATAGTGAAAATAATGTGTGTGTATATCAACTTTAATTGATAGCAAGTATTATTTTTAATTAAACAAATAATAAAATAAGTTAAAAAAAATAGACAAGATTTCCAAATTATTATTTATTATTAAATTTTTCAACAAAATAATAAAATAAAAAAAAAATTAAATTAAAAAAAAAAAAAAAAAAATTATAATAATATAATATTCATTGGGCAAATTTAATAATAAAAACATATAACAATAATAATAACAATTAAATAAATAAATACAAACAGTTAGCCTATATTTGTATACGATTTAAAACAGTAAAAAAAAAAACTAACTACAATATATAACAACAACTAAAATACAAAACTCAAACTTTTTATTAAAATCTGTGCCCTTTTCATACAACAGTCCCCCATCTGTTTTTTTAAAAAAAATAAATAAAAAAATAAACTCACCCTTTTTTAACCCCACCCCAAACTTAATTTCAATTCCACTCTATATTCTATTTATATTGTTGTGTTTCTACCCCACATTGGAAAAAAAAATTGTATATTTATTTTTTTTAATATAATTATAATTTGTATATATCTTTTTTTTTTTTTTTAACCACATACCCAAAATAACAAGATAAGAAATTCTTTTTAAATGAAATAAATATATATATTGATACATCTTGTTCATATATCTACTAAAAGGTGTGTGGGGGGATAAAAATCTATGGTGTCTTAAATATTATATTTATTGGTGGATTATTGTTGCAGGTGTGTGCATGTGTACTTTTGTGTTCTATTAATAAATTCTTTCAATCACACATTATTCGCATGCCAAACAATTGGAAAATAATAGCAATAACTTTAATTTTTAAAAACTAAATAGTATTATTTGAATACAAAATAATTATTTTATAAAAAATGACAGTGACAATTAAACTAAAATAAAATAACAACAAAAATAGAAACATAATAAAAATGGTATAAATTTACCTTTCATATATCACCATAACAAACTATATATAAATACTTTTATCTTTGAATGTACATTCTCTATTAATAGAAGTATCCTCTTTTTTTTCCTTTGTTTAAACAATCACAATAATTAAAGTGCAATTTACAAATAATATCTATTTGTAAAAAAGTTGATTATTTTTTATTTCATAATAATAAAATGGTAAATAAAAAAACTATTTGTTTTTATTATTACAAGTTAAATATATAATTTGACTTTAAATGATCATCAAATAAAAATGAAAAATAAAAATAAATAAAAAAAAAATAAAAGTCATTAGAAATCTCGAAAAAGCGCAAAGATTTTTATTTACGACTTTTACCAGTTTTTTTTTTTTTTTTATTTTTTTAAAAAATATTAAAAAAAAATTTCTCATAACCGACCCTTGTGTTTAATTTATAATGACATTGTTTAAAAAAACTATTTTATAAAAACTTAATTGTAAAACATAATTATAACTATAAATAATCGTATTTTATTTTTATATAAAAATGAAATAATAGAATATAAATATCATATAATTTTTATATATTTTTATATTTAACTACACATTCTTCCAATAAATTCTAAGGAAAAAACACCCCCACTCTTATCCCCACACATACCACTCGCCTATAAAAATCATTCACCCACACTCACATATATATACCTGCACACACATATAATATATATATATAAATAAATTAAACAAATATAAATAAATATCAAAATTCAAAATAAATATCAAAATATTTAAACTTAATATGTACTCCACAATAAAAATAAAAAAAAAAATCACACACTTCACTCACCAATTCAATAATTAGTTTTTTAAAAATAAATTATTTATTAAATAATATTCATTAAATATAAATCATTAAATATACACATATATAAATAATAAAATATCATTATAATATATATAAATACAAACCCACTCACATTCTTTTTTTGGCTTTGGATTTTTTATTTTTTTTTATTTTTATTTGTTTTTTATTTATTTATTAATATCATTAAATAAAATAAAATATTTTATTATTTTATATATACAATTTATAATATTTCAAACTGATAATAATAATAATAAAATAATATACTATTAAATATCGATTTTTTTTTTTTTTTTTAATTAAAAAAAAAAATTAATATATTTTACATTAATATTACACACACTATTTTAAAAGATAATAAAATATAGAATTTAGTAAACCGATACTAAATAAAAAAAAAGATAAAATAAAATAAAAATAAAAACAAAAATAATAGATAATAATAATAAAATGAAATCAATATTTACAAATTTAAATAATATAAATACAACACATTTGGCGGGAGCATCATTGTCATTGTGGTTTGTTTTAAATATTAGTACATTGATATTAAATAAATATATTTATTCATCATTGTATTTTTATTATCCGATCACATTGACAGCAATTCATATGCTCTTATGTTGGGTTGGATCCGTTTTTGTATTAAAAGTTTATAAACTAATTCCATTAATTCAAATTTCATGGAGTTCTCAATTCTTTAATATTCTTATACTTTCGATTTTATTTTGCTCCAATATTGTGTTTGGTAATGTCAGTTTAAGATGGGTGCCAGTATCATTTATGCAAACCGTTAAAAGCTCAGTTCCATTGTTCACCGTCATTCTTCAAACATTGTTCTTTAGCAAGAGATTCTCAAGAGATACCTATCTTTCAATGATACCAATTGTCGGTGGTGTATGTTTAGCATCGGTATCCGAAGTAAACTTTAATCAAGCTGGTTTTATCGCTGCTCTCGCCTCATCTGTTCTCTCTGCCATATTTGCCATTGTCAGTGGTTTGATCCTCACCCAACAAATGAATGCCGTCAATCTCCTCTATTACATGTCGCCTATCTCTTTTTGCCTATTATTCCCAATTGCCGCATTCACCGAATTCGAATCGATCCAATCTGAATGGGCCCTCTATGGCGAAAGTAGACCAGTGGTAATTTTGGCTTTAAGCGGTGTCATTGCTTTCTTATTAAATACATTTACATTCTTGGTAATCAAGTTCACATCACCTTTAACCTATACAGTATCCGGTAACCTTAAAGTGGTCCTTAGTATTACCATCTCTATTTTAATCTTTAAAAATGAAACCAACTTTTTAAATATAGTTGGTTGTGCTATTGCTGTTATTGGTGTAATTTGGTACAGTCAAATTAGATACGAAGCTTCAAAACCAAAAGTTATTGAAGTTTCAAATTTATTAGATAGTAATGAAATTGATAAAGAAAAATTATTACCAAAATAAAGAAAAATAAATAAATTATAAAATTATATAAATAGATATTTTTTTGTTTTTTTTATTTTATTTGATGGACTCTATATGTGTAAAAATTTAAAAAAGATTTATAATTAAAAAAATAAAAATATTAAAATAAAAATATTAAAATAAAAATAATTTTTTAATTTAAAAAATTTATTTTTTTTAAATTTTTGGGTTTTTGAAAGGTGGTTTAAACCACGTGCAATATATTTTATTTGTTTTATAAATAAAATTTTTTAATAGATAGTTGTAAATAAAAATGAACAAAGATAGTGTAAATATTAGTACTGAAGAAGATGAATCACAATTTGATAATGGAAAAGTTGTAAAATTAATTGGTATGTATACAATTAATAATACAATATAATAATCAAATATATATACTAATTATAATTATTTTTATTACCATAGTTGTTGGTTGTGGTCAAAGAGGTCATGTTTATTCACAATATGCAATTGAAAGACCAAATAGATTAAAAATTGTTGGTGTTTGTGATCCAATTAAATATAGAAGAGAGAAAATGGCAAAAGAGTTTGGATTGGAACAAGATAAAATATTTTCAGATTGGAATGATATTATCAATTTGGAGAAATTCGCAGATGCTGTATTAATTGCAACACCAGATCAGTTACATAGGGATCCAGCCATTGCTTTTGCAAACAAGGGATATCATTTATTGGTAGAGAAGCCATTGGCAATTACAGAGGAAGATTGCAAATTAATTGTAGATGCTGCTAAAAAGAACAATGTAATGTTATCAGTATGCCATGTACTCCGTTACTCACCAATTAATTTAAAGATAAAAGAGTTAATCGACTCTGGTTTAATTGGTAAGGTGATGAATATCCAACATTTAGAACCAATTGGATACTACCATTTTGCACATAGTTATGTTAGAGGTAATTGGTCCAATATCGAGAAATCATCATTCTCACTGTTAACCAAATCATGTCACGATCTCGATTTAATTCATTTCTTCTTCTCAAGTCCAGCAACTGACGGTGGTAAATCCAAATATTCCTATAAGAAATGCAAAAAGATATCATCGTTTGGTGGCTTAACCTATTTCAATAAAGAAAACAAACCAAAAGAAGCTGGCGATGCTAAACGTTGTTTATCATGTCCAATTTCAAACAAGTGTCCCTACTCTGCTTCTAAAATCTATTTAGAATTTTATCCATGGAAGAAATTTGTATTGGTACCAGATAGAGAACCAACATTAGAAAACGTCAAACTTGCTCTTCAAAATGGCCCATATGGTGTTTGTGCTTATGAAAGTGATAATGACGTAGCAGATCAACAAATTGTTAATCTAGAGTTTGATGATGGTACAACATGTTCTTTTAGTATGGTTGCTTTTACAGAGGAAATGTGTATTAGAAAAACCAGAATCTTTGGTACCCATGGCCAGTTAGAATGCAACGGTTCAAATATTGTATATGATGATTTCCGTTTCGGTGATAAAGAAATCTTTACTCCAAAAGTTATTCAAAACACTAAAATGTCAAATCATGGTGCATCAGATTACTATCTAATGAGAAGTTTTGTTTATGCAGTTTCACAAAATGACCCAACTCAAATTCTTTCAGGTCCAGATGATACATTAACATCTCATCTTTTAGTATTTAAAGCTGAGGAATCAAGATTAAAAAATACAGTAATAAATTTTTAAATTGTTTAAATAAAAAAAAGAATTATATAATAAATGCATACATACTAAAATTTAAATATAATATAAAAATAATTTAATTAAAATTTATTTTTTTTGTTTTTATTCTTGTACTTTTGATTTCTTTTTATCCATGAAAACAATAATTAAAACTAATGCGGTGAGACCAGTCATAAGGGTTGAAAAACATTTAATAAAAAATAAAAATCTGTTGTTTACTCTAATTTCGATATCTTCCCAATGGATTGGTTCAATGTGAATATGGTTGGTGTCGGTGTGGTCACTAGAGTGTGAAAATACTAAAAAGCTGATTAAAGATTTATCGCTTTCATATTGTTGTTTGAATTTGATGGCTACATTGTAATCTACCTTTACAACGACAAAAGCATAGTGGGTTTGAAGGGTGGTAAATTGGTAGTAGGTGTCTTTGTTGATTTCGTTTGAAATAGATTTAAGGTCGTGAGAGGTCAATGGGGATCTTCTGTTGACGTCCCATACTGAAACTTGGTGGTTGCTTTCTTTATTGAAATTGTTTTCTTTTGAACCCAAAATAATACCCAAGTTTGGATACTCTCCTAAATTATCGCCAAGAATTGATATTAAAAATTGTTGTTCATTCTCTTCTAATGTCATAATGACTTTATGTACATATGGTTTATTGCAGATTTGTTTATCGATAACTTTAAAACCTTGATTGAATCCAACTAACTTTTCGCTATGGACTGTGTTTAAACATCCTTTATTATATTGATCCAATAAACATTTGATTTCTATATCATTGTAATCGATAACTCTACAATTTAATGGTTGATTAAGATCATTGCTTAATGTTATTGACTCGAATGTTGTATTGTCGCTATAATTGAACTTTCCTTCAAATTTTAAAAGTCTACCACTGTGAATAATATTATTAATAACTGAATTTGAATTTGAATTTAGTTTAATTTCATCTGATCTAATTAAATCTTTTTAATAAAAAATGAAAAATTATTAATAATTTAATTGATTGGGGGGTGTTATTGCTATTTTTTATTAAATTTATTGAACTTACTAACTAAAACTAAAACTAATAATACAACAAATAATTTCATATCTTTTTATCTTTCTTTCTAACTGCCTACCTTATAATATCTAACTCTTTTTCTATTTTTAAAATAAAAGGTTACGAAAAAGATATATATCAAAATAAAAAATAAAAAAAAAAAAATAAAAAGAAAAAAACAAAAAAAATTAAAAATAAATAAAAAATAAATATCCAAGTTTTTTTTTTAAAATTATTTTTTTTTTGCCACCGTTGTGTGACAATTTTTTGTGTTATCTTGATTTTTTTTTTTATTTTTTTTGGTCTCTTAATAAACCAATTACATCATAAAAAAAATAAAAAAATTACAAATAAAATAAAAATAAAATAAAAATAAAATAAAAATAAAATAAAAATGATAGGATTATTACAACAACAATATTTTTTTGTTGTTGTAATTTTTTTTGTATTAACAAATGGCATACTAGCAAATAATAGTAATGGTAATAGTAATATTGATAATAAGAATAGTTTCAACATCGTTCCTATGGATAGTTTAGGTAGTGATGAAAGCAATGTTGTTAATCAGTTTTATCCTGTTGAACCAGAGGCCACATGCATACCTTTAATTGTAGAAAATAACGTTTGTTCGAAATATTTAAATTATGATAAAATTTACACATCATACACGCAGCAGAGTCAGCTATCAGCAATTATAACAGCTACATCATTCTTTAATGAAATCACTCAGTATGGTAACGCTGAATGTAATCAAGAAATGGTTTTTAAAGCTATTTGTACATATGTAAGTATTATATTTAAATATATATTTATAATTTCAAAGGTATTCTAATGGTACTTTTTTAGTTATTTCCCCAATGTCTAACATATATAGAAGAGAAAAAATTCAAAGAATATAATTTAGCCATTAGAACATGTTATGATGAATGCTATCAATCAATTCAGTGGTGTTCTTATAGTTATAAATTCGACTGCAATCAAAATTTAAATGGATACAGTGTCCCACTTTTCCCACAAAATTCAACAGTATACAATTTTGAACCCAATGGATATCAGAATGTAGAACTCGAATGCACAAATCCATTCACCTCAACATCTTCATCCAATGATAATGGCAATGGCACATCATCGGACAATAAACCAACACCAATTCCAGAATTACCAAATCACTCTGGTTTTTTTAAATTTATAATTTCATTTGCAATTATTTTTCCAATTATTTTAATTATAGCATTAGTAGTATACAATTTCAATAGAGGGAAACTAACTAAAAAGAAACTAAAAAGCCTCAGCTATAATGATGACGAAGAAGATCACATAATATATCCCAATGGTAATAACAACTTCAATATCCCACCAGGAAACTCCATTGTCAATGAATACACACCATTAATGGATCATTAAATTATAATGTAATAATAATAATAACAACAAAAACAAAATGCAACAATAATAATAGGTAATGGTGGTTGGCGATATATTATGTAGTTTTGGTACTATGTGCATCATTTCACTCCCCCTCCTTTTTTTTATTAATTAATATATTATAAATTATAATATAAATGAATAAAAAAATAATAAAAATTAATTTGACACCAAAATTACAACAACATTGTTGTATATTAAAATTTGGTTTGTTTTAACTCTACAAATAATAACAACACATTTTTATTTAATCTTTAATTTTCTTTTTATGTAAATATTTACTTGCTTCTCTTTTAACCATATTTGAAACATCTTGATGGGATTGCATATAGTCAAATACCACATTATGATGAGTCTTTGAGAGAGATCTTAAAGCCCAGGCACAAGCTTTTTGTAAAAAGAATTCTTTTTCGTATATATTGGGTTCTATGAACGAAAACAATAGATCTATATCGACTTCTTTTTTATAGGTAAGTTGAAATATAATACATATTCTTTTTTTCCAAAAACAGTCACTATTGGCCCATTTATCAGTGGTATATTCTTTAATTTGATCTGGAAACAGTTTGAAATGACCTCCAACTAATTTTGAACCGATTATATCAATGGTATCCCAGAAAGGTTCGATCGATGCCATCTCTTCATAAACTTTAATTCTATTCTCATCACTAGTTTTCTTTATTTGGTGTGCTGCTAATTCAATTGCAACATATTTAAATTCTCTTTCTTTTTGTTTATATATTTCCATTATTTCTTGATCGTTGCTTGGTCTCCCATGATCTGCTATAAAAGATTTTAATAAATCTTTTCTTTGTGGTGATTGAATGCCCAGGAATGTAAATTGTGATCTCATATACTGCTCCATTCGGGTACCCAATTTTATATTTCTATTTGATTTAAAATGCTTGACCAAATTACCAACCTTTAAATATACATTAGTATATATTATTTATTTTTTCAAAAAAAATAAAACTTTAAATACTAACATATTTGCTTTGTTTTGTTATACTCATTTTTAAGATAAAAAATTTATATATTATAATGTATAGTTTTGCAGAAATATAAAGAATTCATTATAAAAAAATAAAAAAATAAAAAATTAAAATTATTTTAAAAAATTAAAATTTTTTTTAGATAAAAACCCCTCACTTTTCTAATAAATTAACAATTACTTGGTAGAATAAACCTACAAAATGCAAATGCAAAAATGATTATGATGTTGATCAAATGATTTTTAAAAAAAAAAAAGAATTATAAAAACTAAAAAAATATTTTTTTATTTTTTTATTGAAATTATATGTTGATTCTTTAATTATTTAAATTGTTTTCTTTTTTTTTCCTGCTTTTTCTTTTCCAGACATTACTACTACTTGTTTTTCCAATTCATCTTCATCTTTATGTTGGTGATTCATGTGCCTTTTCAAGTAACTGGCACTTGAGAATGTCTTGTGACACTCTTCACACTCTAATCTACCTGTTATTTCTTTCTCTTTTTCTTTTTCTTCCTTTTCTTTTAGTTTCTTTTCTTTAAGGAAAGGGTCGTGTTGATTTTTGATGTGTTTGGTTAAATTACCTTTGGTGGCAAACACATGATTGCATTGGACACATTTAAGTTCGTAATCATCAAACTCTTCTCTCTTCTTCTTTGCATTTTCTGTGAGATAGGATGGATCGTCATGAATCTTGGTGACGTGTCTAATTAAATTGTGTTCAAATGAAAAGTAAATAAGACATTCATTGCATTTGAATAATGGTTTAGTTTGATGACCATGAGTGATTTTACAGATGTCTATATCACAATCATAATGGATGGTTTCTTCGTGTCTTTTTACCTTGCAATAGTCTGATGATTGATATCTTTTGACTTTTCTCGAGTTACATTGGTGGTGTCTGCATTCGGTGATTGTCCTTCTATCTGAACTCTTTGGTGATCTTTTCTTTTTTTTTTTTTCTGATACTGCATCTTCTTCATCATCATTATCCTCTTCACTTTCTTCTTTTTCTTCTTCCTCTTCTTCCTCTTCTTCATTTTTTTTCTTATTACTTTTTCTAGTTTTTTTTGATTTACTTTTCTTTTCTTTTTTCTTTTTTTCTTGGTCATCTGATAACTCCTCTTCCTCTTCTTGTTCTTCTTGTTCTTCTTCAACTTCTTCCTCTTCTTCTTTTTTATTTTTTGATGATTTTGATGATTTTGATGACTTTGATGATTTTGGTGATTTTTTTGGTTTTCTTAATACAGGTTCTTCTTCTTCCTCTTCCTCTTCCTCTTTGGCACTTTCATACTCACTATCACCCTCACTTTCGCTGCTGTCACTTTCACTGCTGTCACTCTTTGGTTCTTCTTTTGTGATTTTTCTTTTTGGTTTTTCCTCTTCCTCTTCCTCTGGGTCTTTTTTGATTTTCTTTGTTGGTACCTTTGTTTTTTTTGGTGCTGCTTTTATTGATTTACTGTTGGATTTTATCTTTAAACTAGTTTCTTCCTCTTCTTTATCATCATTTTCATCACTGTCACTACTATTTTTACTTTCTTCTCTAGATCTTTTTTTTGATTCCTTCTCTTTGGTAGCGGTTGAACCCCTTGTTGTTATTTTTGTATCTTTAGTAGTAGTTTTGGTTGGTGATGACTTGGCAACAACTGAGTCTGGTCTGGAGGCTCTTGTTTTTTTGGTTTTTTGAATAGATTTATTATTTTTTGCCATTATTTTATAGAGGTAAAATAATTTAAAAAAAAAATTGTGTGTGTAATAGTTTTTATAATCACCCAAAAAATAAAAAAAAATGAAAAAATGAAAATTTTTTTTTTTTTTTTTTTTTTTTTTGTTTAAAAAACCGAATTCTGTTAATTTAATTTTAATTTTATTTTATTTTTTTTCCGCGATAAAAAAAATAATTTAGTTTTATTAAAACTAAAAATAATTTAATTTTTTTTTTTTTTTTTTTTTTTTATTAATTTGTTGAAATTGATGGATTTGGTTTTTGTGGGGTATGAATTTGTAAGAGATCAGAATTATCTACATCTGCAGTCTCGCTTGGGTTTTCCTTTTCATTGGAGTATTCCATAAAGTCTCCTATATATTTATAAATAAAATCGATTTTTTTGCTATCTTTGATGTGTTCTCTTATACATAAAAGAAAAACTTTCATAGATTTATAAATTAAATTGATCTCTTTTTGATTTTGATTTTGATTTTGGTGAAGTAATAGTATTTCATTAAAAATATGGGCAAAAAAGTATGCAAGACCAAAGGCAAACAGAAGTGAAATTATTATAAGAAATATATTGAGATAGTTCATTTTTAATTTAGTATAAAAAATGAGAATTTAGTAATTTTAAAATTAATTAAAAAAAAATATTTAAATTTTAAATATTTAAAAAAACAAAAAAACAAAAAAAAAAAAAAAAAAAAAAAAAAAAAAATTAAAAAAAATATAATTATTCTTTAAATGTATGTGTATAGGGAAAATTAAGTGGGTTAGCAACTTAAAAATATTTTTAAGTGAGATATAAAAACAAATAAATTTAATTTAAATTTAAATCTAATTATTTTATTTATTTTTTTTTAAATTAATTTTTAAATTAATTTAATTTAAATCCATTTTTTCCAATTTTTTTCCAATATTTTTCATTAGAAATAAAAATTAGAAAACAAAATACTTTATTTCTTTTGAGGGCCTAGGGCAGTTTGTTTCATCGCTATTATAAATTTTGATTTCAAAAGAAGCATCAGTTCGAATCTGGTTATAGAGTTTTCTATATGGGGGAGTGGTTAACCCGTCAAACAAAAAAAAAAAAAAGTACACAAACTCCGATATCCCTTTTTTAATTTTATTCATATTTTTTAATTAAAAAAATTTACTGATTAATTTAAAGCATTGCTTTTAATTATCTTCACTTTTAAAAAAAAAAAAAAAAAAAAAAAAAAAAAAATCAATTCATTTTTTTTTTTTTTGGTTTGATCCAAATTCATCACCAATACTTATTGCCAACACAACTCTACGATACTTTGTCTATCATTGAGATAACAATGGTATCGTCATAAAACTATCCAAAATCATCCTCTCAACAGGTGCAATTAAAACGAAAGCCATAGATAATAACAGTTTTTATATTACATTTTATTTAGTTTTGTAAATAATAAAAATAAATTTTTTTTTTATACAATATTTTTTTTTTAATTAATTATTTAATTTAAAAAAAAAATAAAAATATTTTTATTTAAAAATTTTCATTTTTTTTTTTTTTTTTATTTAAAAAAACATAATATAATGTGTTCAAAACAAACCAATAGCAACTACACTTTTCATTGTAATAATGAAGTGGATAAATACATTCAAAATTTTAAACCGATCATAAAGTATATCTATAGCATCACCATATATCACACCATCCAATATAATACTAATTTTCATTTTTTCAAACTTACCCAACCAAAGCGAAGATGAACTGTCAAACCTTACAACAGTGGATGGAGGTGAATTAAAATATGATAAAGAAGCATTACAACTTTTAAATTTTATTCTAACGAAATTTGCAAGAATTGTAGCAATGGATTCAATTGAAAATAAATATTTTGAAAAATCAAGACACAAGTATACATATAGAGTTGGTAACACAATTATAATATAATAATAGTATACCTTATAATCTAACTATTCATATATATTATTTAGAATAAATCAGTTAGTGTTAAACATATTGTAGAATCTTTTTATCTCTTACCTGAATTCGAAAATCTTTCAAAATTAATGGATATTAACAAAGTAGCACCGCTATTAGACCAAAACATCAAAGATACAATTACAAAAAAGGTTAGAGTTAAAAAAGAAATGGGATCAAGTAGGTCGGTTCAACTTAATAAACACTTTGAAATTGAAGATGACCCTAACGAAAATAATATACACCCATTACTCTATAATCAAGTCGATAACTTTAATAATTTTTTAAAAAAAACAAAATATAGTCATAATGAAAACGATAATGAAACCAATAAATAATAATCACCACTACCTATATTTCAACAAAACACCTGTAAATAAAATATATTGTAACCAACCTAAACTAAAATAAAACATACTATATTACTATTATAATATACTATATATACTATTATAAAATATACATTAAATATTTTATTTATATTTCGTTTTTATTTATTCTTTATATTTATTTTAAAATTCTATCAACTGGTGCCTTCTTTATATTTTCATTTTCTTTTTCCTTTTCCAATTTTGCACGTTTTGATTCGGCAATAATCTCTCTAATTTGATCATCTGATAAATTTTCGATTTCTTCTATACCTTTGTTTAGTTTATCTATTGTATAATTATCATAAATCTATTAATATTTTCACTAAAAATAATAATAATAATAATATATATGACTAATTACCTAATCTTTGATAATTTAAATATGCTATATAATAAATAACACAAACGATGGAGCACCCAACAAAAAGTAAAATGTACATGGAAACTAATTCTTTCCCAGATTTTCTTACAACTTGATTGGTTAATGGTGGTGGGATTTTTGATGTACTATAGTATTTATTTATATTTATATTTGATGCATTATTGAATGATAGTAATCTTGAATCTGAATTTAAATTTTTAAAAAGACTATTTGATTGAGTTGATTTGCTAATTGAATTTGGTATTATACATTTATTATTAATATTATTATAATTATTAGTGTTTTTAATATTTATGTTTATTTTACTATTGTTTATAAAAGAGTTGGTGAGTATATTTCCTCTTTTTGTTAAATTATTTAATAAATTGATCTTTATCATTTTTTTCGAATTGTTATATTTAAAAATGAAAAATGCCAATATAATCACAAAAATAAATAAAAAAAATAAAAAAAAAATAAAATTAAAAATTTTTAAAATAAAAAAAAAAAATAAAAAAAAAAAAAAGTAATAACGAATTAAAAAAGATTTCCGAAATTATATAGTTCCTTTATTTTTTTATTTATTTATTAGTTATTATTTAAATTTTATAATTATAGTTTATTTATTATTAAATTTAATTTAATTTAATTTAATATTGTTCTGAAAATGACACCTTCCAAACCATATTTTTTTTTTTTATTTTTCCTCCTGGGCTTCTATTTGTCGCTTGAAAAAAAAGGAAAAAGATATTTATTAAGAAAAAAAAAAAAAAATTATTTCGTTAATTTTATTTTTTTTAAAAATTTTATTTTTTTTTAAAATTTTTTTAAATGCTTGCATAGTAATACTAAAGTTATACATATAATCAATTAAAAAAAAAAATCAAATATATTTTTAATTTTGATTTGTTTATTGAAAAAAAACATTATTTATTTGGTTTTTTTTATTTAATTTTTATTTTATTATTTTTATTATAAAAAGTTTCAAATAATTCGACATTTATCAAACCCACCCCACCCCTCCAATTATTTCGGAATAGTAATAAACTAAATAATAAATAAATAAATAAATAACAATATAAAATAAATTATAATAAAATGGGTCTTTTATCAAACTTAGATTGGGATTCTTTATTCTCATACCAAACAATCAAGATTGTTAGAATCAGAGATAGAAGATTGGGAATACTTCATTTATCATTCTTAGTAGCAATTATTTTATATATTTTAATCTTTACCATTCTATTACAGAAGAAATATTTGGCAATAGAATCCCCAATTGGTTCAATCCGTACATCGTTAATGGCTGTATGTAAACTAATTAATATTAATAATAAAAAAGAAATATTAATATTTTATTTTAAATTATTTCTAGCCTCAAAATAGAGCAGGTAATTTATCATATTGTTCACAAACACAACCTTCATTTAATGGATATGAAAACAAACCATGTAGATGGTGGGATGAGTATTTAGTGCTATATCCCCCATCAGAGGAAAGTGCAATGTTCATTTCAACTAGAGTCACACAAGAAAACCAAACAACTGTAAACAATTGCGATTTATCAACACCATCATGCGTTTATACTACCAATTCATCAATTGAATTTTATGTCGCAAATGTAGAAGATTTTACAATTCTTTTAGATCACACATTATCAGCACCAACTTTGGGTATTCAATATAACGCTTTTCAATTGAATGGCGAACTTTTAGGACCAGATGGCAACCCAATTACATTGCCAGCACCCAATGTAGTCGGCATTAAAAACCAACCTGATATTTTAACACTTCAAGGTATTTTAACAGCAGCAGGTATTGGATCATTGGATCAACAGGCTTTGGCAAATACCTCACGTTCTATTCGTGATGATGGAATACTCTTATTATGTTTTATTACCTATAGTAACATGTACACATATAGCACAGCAAACTACCATTACACCTATCAATTTAAATTGGTTCAAGATACAAAATTCAAAGTTGAGGAGCCAGTTTTCCTCGATAATGTAATCCACAGAATTATTTTAGATCGTCATGGTGTTCGTATTATATTTATTCAAACTGGTCAATTGGGTCAATTCGATTTCCAAACCACTCTTTTAACCTTTGTTTCTGGTATTGGTCTAGTTACTGTCGCTACCTTTGTTGTAGATTTTATAGCCGTTCGTTTACTCCCTCAAAAAGAAAGATACACCGAGTTAAAATATCAAGACTCTCAAGTAAATATCATTGATGAGGATCAACAGCCCACAAACAATGACTCTGATGATGACGATGATGACAATATAAAAAAGTCGCTGATAGACAACGATCATTATCAAAGGAGGCCAACCAACCAAAATCAATAATTAATTTAAAATGATCATCAATAATCTCTTTTTGTAATTTTCAATTCACTTTTTTTTTCCCCCCTCTTTTTTTTTAAAATTTAAAATTAAAATATCATAGTACTTTTATTATAAATAATAATTATAAATCTATGATATCTCATTCAATTATAATAATATTTTATTATTACTAATAAAGTATTTAAATTAACCAAATATATAAAAAAATAATAAACTCATATGCATTTATTTATTTTACTATTTTTTTTTTTTTTTTTCCAATCAACAATTCAAAAAATAATTCTATTATAATTGATTATCAATTATCTATTTTAAAATAAAAATTATTTTTTTTTTTAATTTTTTTTTTAAAAAAAAGTCTGAAAAACGGAGAAAAACAATCAAAAATGTCAATTTATTCATTGATTTGGAATTAATTTTGACAATTGAAAAAAAAATAAAAAATAAAAAAAAATTATTTAAAAATTAAAAAAATGTTTTTTTTTTAAATTTAAACTCTTTTTTTTTTTTTTTTTTTTTTCATTTTTAAAAACATATTACACACACACATACACACAAATAGTAATAATAGAAATAATTATAATAATATTTATTAATAAATTCATACATTTTTAAAATTTTAAAATTTAAAATTTAAATTTTTATCTATTAATAAATTAATTTATATATATAAAAAAAAAAAATTTTATCTATTTTAAAACAAACACAAGATATATGATATTAAAACTATAAAATATTATAGCACAAATAAAGTAAATGGGTAAAGAAAATGTTTTATTAGGACAAGACCAAGAGGATGAAAACCAGGCCAATCAAGAAACTCCCAGGGTATTATTGACACCAGAACAACAAGCGGTTTTACAACAACATCTAACACCACAAGAACAACAACAACAACAACAGCAACAACCACAACTTGATAAAATTGAGTTGAATAATAATAATAATAATAATAACATGAATAATAATAATAATACAATTACAGATGATAATGATAATGATGAAGATTATGATATAGGCAAAAAGAAAAAGAAAAAAGATAAAAAAAAAGATAAAAAAGAAAAGAAAAAGAACAAAAATCAAGATGACAATTCAGGGGATAATATTGATAGTGAGGACCAAGAAAATGAAAGAGTTATTATTAAAAGTCCAATTTTACAAAAATTAAAGAAAAAGAAAGGTGAAGGTTATGAAGATGAACCATATTCAACAGAGATGACACATTTTGATAGCGGTGCAAATTTGGATAGCCTCGATAGCCCACCTGTTGTTGGTACTCCTCAAATTGAATTGGATCCTGAAGTGTTTTATGATGGCGGTGAAAAAAAGAAAAAAGGCAAAAAGGGTAAAAAAAATAAAGATAAATTCCTCACACCAGAAGAAAGAAGAATCAAAGAGGAATCAAAAGACGCAAAATCATTCTTTTCAAACGAAAGAACATTTTTATCTTGGATTGGTAAGCCTCATCAACATCAATTTATTATTATTTAGCATTAAAATTAATATTAAAATTTTTTATTTTTCAGGTTTAACATTTTCATTAGGTGCAATCGGTACATCAATTATCACTTGGTTTGGTAGTGAGGGTGTATCTTTAGCAACAGGTTTATTCTTATGGGGTGTTTCAATTATTTTTATGGCCTATTCAACTATACAGTTCAGAAGAAGAGGACATGCTATCAGAACTAAAACTCAGGGTCCATTTGATGATCAAAAAGGTCCATTATCTTTGGTAGCAATGGTAGTTGTGGGTGTATCAATTTATTTAGTATTCTTTGTCGTAATTAGACCAACAGTTAATATTGGTGGTGACATCAACCAAAACAATTCAACTACAAAAAATTAATAATAATAATAAACTATATTTTAAATTAAATTAATTTAAACAATACTCCAAAAAAAAATAATTTATAAAATTAAATCTTTATAAAATTATTAAACAACTAAAAATAATAAAAATAATATCATCACAATTTAAAAAAAAAAAAAAAAAAAAAAAAAAAAGAAATTTTAAAGAATGAAAGTTTTCATTTATTTTGGGAAGTTTTTTATATCAAATCCGATATAAACAAATAAAATTTAATAAATAAAAAAAGATATATAATACATTAATCTACAATTTTCATTTGTTAATTTCTCAAGAAAGTTAAAAATAAAATAATTTTTAAACAAAAAAAAATTAAATTAAATGATCTATTTTTTTTATTTTTTTTATTTTTTTTATTTTTTTATAAACCCAATTTCAAACAGTAATCAAATACATATTTATTTAAAAAAAAAAAAAACTTGATATTTATTCTTTTATTTAAATATTTAAATATATTTATATTATTTTTATTTTTTTTTAATTTTTTTTTTAAATTTTATTTTTTTTAAATTTATTTTATTTTTTTTTTTATAATTTTTTTTAAAAATTTTTTTTTTATTTTTCTTTATTTTTTTTTAATAACAATCAAATATTCGTTTTAAAGAGATTTATATTAATAGTTTATATAAATATTAATAAAAACAATAATAATTTATTTTTACACAATTATAAAAAAAAAAAAAAAAAAAAAAAAAAAACTTTAGTTTTTTTTTTATGTTTTTAATTTCACACACCCCATTCAGACAAATTAAAACATATAAACCAAGAGTGTGGGTTTCTCATTCTTCCTTGTTTCTCATTTAAAATCAAGACATAAACAATAAAAACTTTCTCCACTTGGTTTCATAATAATTTTTAAATAATTATCAGTTTTTTTTTTATAATAGTTTTTTAAAATTCATTTCCAATTTTTTTTAAAACAAAATTTTAATAAAAAATAAAAAAATATATAATATTATATATGTATATATATCAAAGATTAAAAGTGTTATTCTCTTGTAATTAAAATTATAATGACATCAAATAGCACTAATAGAAATAGTAATAATAACACCAATAACCGTGATAATAATAATAATAATAATAACAATAATAATAATAATAATAATAATAATAATAATAACATTCGTAATAATACAAACAATAATTTATTATCAATTAATAATTTATCAATAGTAAATATTTCACGTAGTATGAATAGTTTATCATTTAGAACAAGTGGTCCGCATTCATTTGAAGATAGTGGACAGCTTGATGATATGTATATCACAAGTGACAATCATAGTAGTATGTTAACTAGGTCTTGTAGTTCCAAAAGTGTAAGAAGAACTAATCTTGAAGAAATTAATAACGAGGCTAAACACTTAGCAGCAGTCTATTTAAATAACAGACAACTAGTATTTACTCAAGGTTTAGGTAGAGTGGACTTTAATATGAGATCTGAAGATTTAGATCAACCATGGTTCCATAAAGAAGCAACAAGAGATGTAGCATTACAGTTACTAAGTCGTAAACCAGAGGTAAGAAAATTATAATGGCTTTATAATATTTCACATACATAGGAGTTTTATATTAATTATTATTCAAACTATTTTTTATATTTCAGGGAACATTTTTAATTAGACCAAGTTCACAACCAGGTAGTTATGCAATGTCATGGATGAAGGCTAATAATGAAATAGGCCACAATTTAATTTATGGGTTATGTCCTGGGTATTCATTAATTCAAGATCCACATACAAGAGATAGATTTTGGTCACTTCAAACATTAGTAGAAAATTGTGAATATTTAAGACACCCTGTTTTGGTTTCTCAAGATACAAAAACTATTGCAAAAAATTCAAATTCAAAAACAAATTCTGAAGTTATTGGTAGAATAGTAGAAAGAGTTTCTGCAAATGACCCAACTTTCACCGATTTATTTTGGGGTTTATCAATTATAGGGGATAATGCAAATGAAAATTCAGATTATTGCCAAAAAAGAACTAAAGTCAGGTAATTTTTTTTTAAAATATAATAATCGTTAAAATTAAATTATTTATTAATATTTTTTTTTCAGATTTGGTGAAGAAGATTATACAGCTCCTGAAATTTTACCTTTGAATGGTAATTCTTTAACTTTAATTTGTCAGGCAATGCACAATAATTTACACATGAGATCATTCTCACTTAATGGTTATGATGGTTATTTAAGATTATCATTTATTACCAACATTACAGATTCTGACGCGCTACCAATAGCAGAAATGATAAAGTATAACAAATCGTTAACTTTATTAAATTTGGGCATAAATCAATTAACAGATAATGGTACAAAATTAATAGCAGAGGCATTAAAAGTTAATACGTATGTAATCACAAATATTTAACTGTTTAAAAAAAATCCATATTAATATTTTTTTCTTTTTTACTTTGTTACAGAACATTAAAATATGTATCATTATCAAATAATTTTTTGGCAAGAGACGGTTTAGTAGCAATATCAGAAGTTATTAGATGTAATAAATCATTGGATTATATAGATGTATCACAACAATTAAAAAAGAAAAGATCAACAGTAGATTTAAATCATGGTGACACCGAAAGAACTTTAATGGGCTTAATCGAAGATACAATGAAAAGAAAATGCGAATTATTTGGTGTTTCTTATAATTATTTTGACGCTCCACGAAGTGTGTCCAGTGAACCAAGTAGCACAAGTAGTGTGAACATCAGTTATATGAAGTTACCTTGCTTCCATGGATATTTAACTAAACAAGGGGCAGAGAAGAGAATCAACGCACTCAGCAAATCACCAGGTTCTTATTTGTTCTATTTGAATTATTATATTCCAAATTCAATATTTTTAGCAATACTTGTACTAAAACCAACTGGACAATTAGAAATCGAACATAAAATGATTCACAGAGTACATTTTGGCTATCGTTTCGTTTCAAGTGGTTTAAACAATGAGGCTGATACTTTAAGAGATGAAATGATCGAAGAGGAAAGACTCTACAACTTCCAATTGAACAATCAAACTCATAACAACTCAATCACTCACAGCAACTCGTATATTTATAGCTATAGACATAGACCAAGAAGAACAGGTTGTGGAACTGTAATACCAACACTATTCGAATTTTGTTCTTGGATTTTAGCATCACACCCTCAATACAATGATATTTTAGCAGCTTTCGAAAGAATGGGTGGTATTAGCGAAAGATTTAAAGAAATTCATGACCTTACTCCTTTATGGGGTGCAAGAGATGTTTTGCCAATTGTATCCCAAACCGAGCCATCTATAAAACACAATATATCACGTAAAGGTGTATATCCAACTTTAACTCAATTAATTAAAATCAATAACAAACGTTTAACATACGCAATCACAACTGAAAACTATCAAAGACATCGTGAAGGTATTAAACATCTTTCACAATTCCATAATCAACATAAAATAGTTCAACAAAACAAAGAACTCAATAACCAAAACCCAAATGGTCTTTGAAATTATAATTAAAATAATTTATATTTTTGTATATAAAAAAGATAATAAAGAAATAATAAAAAAAATAATATAATATAATTTTATTTTTGGTTTATTATTAATTGTAATATTAATTAATTATAAGGAGTTTAAAATATATTTTTATTTTGTTTATTAATTATTGGGATGGAAATATTTTATATATTTTTTTTATTTTAAACTTTTAAATGTCTATTAATAAATAATAATTTATCCATAATTAAATTTTGTTCTTCGTTGGATGTGCAATTGTTTAATAAAATTCTTTGAGAGAGACAATCAATTTGAGTTTTGAATCTATCAAAAAGGATAGGTAAGGCTTTTCTGAGTGTTGATAATTGATCCTCGCCTGGAACAGATTGGGCTTTAACTTCTGGTGGGAATGCAAGTTTACATTCATTATATAATTCGTCTAAAGTTGTTTTTATAATTCTAATATTTTTACCTATTTCAAAAGCTTGATTTATATCTGCGTTTTCGACTTTGTTTTTCTTTACATCAATTTTCACTTTAATTTCCTCTGTACATACTTCGATAACTCTTGCTGTTGATTTATCAATATTATAATTATTATTATTAACCTGTGATGATGGAGAAATTGGTACTGGTGGAACACCCATATTTTGTGATGAGGATGGTGATGAAGATAATGGTTGGTTGTTGATTGTTGAGATTTGGTTGTAAAGTAAATTATTTAAATTGCCAGAACTACTATTGTTAAAGTTGTTATTGAATCTGGCTAATGATGGGGAGCTATTTGGTGATGAAGAGTCAATGGTACCAGTGCTATTATAATTAGCAACTAAATCAGATAATGAAGTACCTGGTGAGTCTAGAATTGACTTTAGTTTGGAAAAAATTTGAGCTGTTGCAATAACCTGTTCTTTGTTTTCGAATGTGCTAACATTTAATTTAAAGAAATAGATGTAATCTGAAATTTCATCAGAAGCAACCTGAGAGGCCCTCTTTAAATCATTGGCCTTCTTTTCTTGATCACCAAGTGCACTGTTATCGAGAATTGGTGTTGATGATACTAAAAGATTGTAGGATAATGGTTTTGGATACTCTTGAATAAATTCTCTTATGATTGTTTTATTGAGCCCTAAAAGCTTTTCGGCTGATTCGTTCATATGCTTTTTAGCATCTCTGAGGATTGTCGAGAATTTTATAATATTATTATAATTAAAATCTTTTTCGATACTCTTAAGAAGATTCTTAACTTGTAAAAGGGTTTGTTCACTGACTGTAGCATCGATTGAAATTTTAATTTTATTTACTTTTTCTTCTACCTCTTGTGGAGAAATAGTTGATGCAGATGGTGATGATGATGATGATGATGGTATTAACATTGATAATCTATAACTACCTGGGCTACTATTTGGTGTTGTGCTACTATTATTATTATTATTATTATTACTAATATTATTGTTATTATTAGGAATACTTATTGGTTGTGATTGGGTTGCTTTTGGTTGTTCAATAGGTTTTTTTGGCTCAATTGTTTGTATTACTGGCTTAGATTTAACTATTGTAACTTGTTGATGATCATCTTTTGGAATGGTTGGTAAGGATAGTTTTGGAGATTTAGATTGTAAATTATTTGATGAGTTTGAACCTGCAATTTTATATAAACCAATGGTTGGTTGCTGTAAAGTTTGTGGGGGTTGGGAGGTTGAAAATTGTTGTAAATTTGGTGCCTGTTGTTGAGGGTGTGGGGGGATTGATGATAAAATTGTAGAAACTCTTGAATTTGGACCAGTTGGTGGTTTTGATATTGTTTCATACTCTTCAATCCAAAGTTTGACAATTTCTTCAATGGTTTGTTGATCGGATTTCATATAATACATTTGCTCTTCGGGTCTTAAAAATACAGATGAAAAAATTTTAGATAAGCTTTCAGAATTCATTTTAGTTTGATCACTACATTGGTGAACCTTTTGTAAAACTGTTAAAACACTTTTGATAGCTCCTCTAAATCCCATTGGTAAATATAATAATAAAAATCTATATGCCCAAATTCTATCCAATGGTGATAAAATCGCTAAAATTAAATAAAATAATAAAATATAAATATATAATTCTATTTTTATATTATTTGAGGTAAATAATCCTTACAATGAGTTAATAAAAAACTATCATATAAATGGAATGAAAACAGAGGTTCTGGTAACAATGATAAATATTGTTTAAATAATTCTGCAATAACATATGGATTTTGAGTTAAAGTTGGAATATGAAGTTGTTCTGCATCTAAACTTAAATCTAAAACAAAAACTAATTAGTATTTAAAAGCATATGACTGTTTTAATATTATTTTATTATTATTACCTTTTAACAAATTCTTTTTAACAGTTTGAATTTCATTTTCTAGTTCTGGGTGTGGTTTAAAAATACCATCAAAATTATAACCTTTTGTTAAAAGATATTTTGAAAATTTATTTAAAACTGCCGAACCAATATCAGAGTGTGGAACAAGTGGTTGACCACCAAACTGAGTATAGTTGTTATTGAATTGTGATGTATCAATTAAATTTGCTCTTCCAACTGTACTATTGTTATAATCTGAAGATGTAGAGGAGGACAATGTTGGTGATTGAATACCTGTACTATTGCTAACACTATTTAAATTTGATGCACTATTAAACATTGGTGCAGAACTTGGTGTGTATGTAAAGCCTCCTGTTGATTGTAATGTTGGTGCTGACGATGATGAACCAAGAGGTCCCAAACCACTAATACTGCTTGGTGTTGATGTATTGGAATTTGTTGGTGTACCATTACTACTATTGTTTAAATTATTACTGTTATTATTATTACCGGTATTTTGTAATGTCGAATTTATTGGTGAACCTGTAAGAGGTGATGTTGCAGTTGGCGAGGCACCTGGTGTTGATGTTTTATTTTTCCATGAAATAAATGACATGTTAAAATTTTATGTTTTTTATAATAATAACATTAAGTAATTTATTATATTATTTGTACTGGTTTTATTTTATTATAGTATAATTATTTCTATAAATAAATAAAAAAAGGGTATAGAAAAGATTATTTAATTATGGATTATAAAAAAATTAAAAAAAAAAAAAAAAAAAAAAAATTTAATAAAAAAAATCAAAAAAAAAAAAAAAAAAAAATTTAAAATTTTTTAAAATTAAAAAATGGTAATATATTTTTTTTTTTTTTTTTAATTCATTCTATTTTATTTAAAGTACTGTAATTAAATATAAAGAGGACCCGAATATATAAAACCAAATATTAAAGTTAATAAAAAAATAAAAAAAAATAAAAAAATAAAAAAAAATAAAAAAAAAAATAAAATAAAAAAATTTAAAATTTATTTTAAAAAAGATAACCTTTTGCTTTTAATTTATGAATCTTTTGATTGAAATATTTTTTATCTATTTTGATTTTGATTTGTTATTTTTAGGTTAAACTATTATTAATTTAAGTGGATATTTAGGTTCAATAATTTTTTTCATCTAACTAATTCTTAACTGAAAAAAAAAATGCCCAAATTTGAAATATAATATACAGAGGCTTGTGGGATATGAAATTCTAAATCTTTTCATCTAGAACTAATTGACTATCTACCATATTTGTTTGGCCAGAACAAATTTGATATTCATCAAAAAGTTGATTAGATTGAAAATTTAGATTGATAAGCTGCTTAAAGATGCTAGAATATGGAGCTTCAGATTGATTTACAAAGGAAGATTGAGGACAAATGATTTCTGGTATCTTTGATAAAAGGCTAGTCTTAGAGCTTTTGGTGAACGGTTTGTACAGGAAATTAGTTGATGGTATATTTTGGTATAGTAGAGAGACACCTGTTCACTTAAATTCGTATGGGCAGACCTTACAATAGTATTTAATATCTATTAGGGATGTCAAACTAAAAATAAAAATTAAAATGGTTAGATAATCTTTTCACTATTTTCAAATTCTATATATGTTGGTTGTTATTGTTTTATAACTATATGGTATTTTACTTACTTTCTATTGTTTGAATCTGATGTTAAAAATATTATACAGGGTTTTGAAAAATAAATATAAAAAATTTAAAAAATAAAAACTATCTAAAATATAGTGGTTGTACTGCTTCAAAATGAAATGGGCTGTAATTACTGTTGGGAATAAAACTAAGTTGAATCATTTACAACAAAAAGAGAAAAATTAAAGATCTAGGAAAATAGTAATCTAAATTTAATAAATATAAAAAATATTAATAAAGAGTTTAATATTAAATAAATAATATAAATAATGATATAATACCTTGGTTACTTTTGATTAGGGAAACAGAGAAGTGATATTTAAAAATTGCACCAAACTAATAATTGAATGTGAATCGCTTATAAACTACCCCAGAAATTATTGATACTGTTATTGAATCTTAATAGGTTTTCTGAACGGATGGTATCGCTGGTAAAAATGAAATAATTGCTAACAATACAATAGGTATCGTTATACAATTGACGGAATTCTTGTTTAAGTTCGAGATATTCTAAATCTTCAAATAAATTTAAAGCAGAACTCCAAACCAAGTGGATTAAAAACATATCTTTGATTATAATATTAAATTGATTATTTTGGAGGGATTTTGCGAAATGTTTAAATACACAAATTACACCTTCTATTTGATGATATCTATACTTTGTGTATTTATTGATGATCTTGTATAGCTCTAAAATATATGATTCGATCATATATATATGATCTTGTGAAATATTTGAATCAAAATGTGCTTGAGCAATTACTTTTGAAACTATTAGACTACTAATAGTTTTGACATCATCTGATACATTTTCAAAATGAATGGCACAATTTATAATATTTGCTAAAAAGAGGTCAAGTTGATTGGTTTCTAAACTTCTCAAAACGACGAAATTAGACAAATGAATATTAATGGCTTTTAATTCCCCCAAGATAGAATTATTTTCTTTTGGTTCAATTTCTTTTGAAGCCCATTGAATTAAAATTTGGGGTATTTTTGGTTTCTCTTGTTGAACTTCCTCTGGTTGTTGTTGTTGAAGTTCCTCTTGTTGTTGTTGTTGAGCCCTATGATAATTTTCAAAAAAAAATGTTAGAAACTATATCGCTATTATAATATTTGTTAATACTTTCTGATACCTACTCTTTTTTAAAACTCTTTCAAATATTTGTAAATTTTTTTTACTATTTAATTCAGCTTGGAGGTTTTTATCTTCTAATAAGATCTCCATACAAATATTTAATTCTTTTAATTCATTTTGGTAGTCTTCTGTTACTGTTCCAAAAATGAATTTAAATGATACCCATAATATATAAATTCTAAAATGATAATATAAATGTTAATACCAATATTATATAAAAAATAATATAAAATGAAAAACTTACATGAATGGGATAACTGCTGAAAATAAATAGCATAATGTTTTTACAAACAATGTGTCATCTGAAAGAGTTATTCCTATAATGATTGAAATAAATAATAAAATAATTGGGATAACTATGTTGAAGAAAAGGATACTCCAAAAAATACTATAATGAATTTCCTCTTTGTTTTTAATTTTGGATTCTAAATTGGAAATCTTGGTTTCCAAACCTAAGAAGTCTTCAATGGCGTTATTCTGAATACAAATAAAACTATAGTTAATATTAATTTCTATTTTTTTTAATGTATATAATATAAGAGATACTTACTTTTTTAGAAAAAATAATACCCATTTTTTTAATTTATTACTATAGGGTAATTTTATTTTGAAGAAGTTAAATGTACAAAAATATAAAATAAATAAATATATATATATATAAAATACAACAAATAGAAAAAAGCTGGCTTTATTGGCGGGACTGGATTCTATATGGAGGCGAACTAAATTTAAGCTATACGGGACACAAATGGCTTTATGGTTGATATTGCTTGAAAAAAAAATGAAAATAAAAAAAAAAAAAACTTTAAATAGGATTTTAAATTATGAGAGAAATTTTAATCAACTATAATTATTTCCTAAAATATTTAATAGATCAAATCAAAAATTCCTTTTTTATTTTATTGGTCAAAAAAATCCAAATTAGGTTAAAATTAGGGTTGTAGAAAAAAATGTAAATCTGTTAGAATCATATTTGGTAATAATTTAATTCTAATAGCTTTTTAAAGAAACCGCATATTAAAAAAAAACTTGAAAAATTGAAAAAAAAATTAAAAAAAATTAATTGTTTAAAAAAATACAATTTTTAAAAAAAAGTCATATGAATTTTTTTTTATTTTTATTATAAATTAAACAGAATATCCTTTTATATATGCCATTTTTTATTATAAATTAAACAGTATCCTGTTAATTAAGCCATTTTTTATTATAAATTATACAAATAAAGCCATTTTTATTATAAATTAAACAGCAATCCTTTTAAATATGCCATTTTTTTACTGAATTATTATTTTTTAATAATATTCAAAAAAAAAATTAATAATAAAATTTAATAACTGTACAATGATAATTTTATTTATTTATTTATTTATTTATTTATTTATTTTATTTTTTTGAAAAATTAAAAAAAAAAAAATTAAAAATTAAAATTTAAAAAATATAATAAAAAAAAAAAGTTTTATATTTATGATTTAAAAAAGGTTTAATTTTTATAATAATTATAAAGCAATATAATAATAAAAATATTTGTATCACATTATATTAATTATTTTATCTTTTTTAACCAAAACTTGAACTCCGAAAAAAAACCTTAAAAAAAATAAAATAAGGTGAAATATTAAAATGTTGTTTTGCCCGAGTTGGTCTAAGGGGTTGCATTAAGGCTGCAATATCATTGATGCGAGGGTTCGAATCCCTCAGACAACAATATTATTTTTTATCACTGATAAATAAATCTTCCCAAAGATTTTGAAGTTTAGAAGGAATTTCCTGCAAGTTACCGCTCCCGGTCCGAATATCAGTCTCGCAGGTTTTCCGAATCATAAATGAATTGGCGTTACCGTGCATAACTTGTGCAATGTGGTAAAAATATAAATATTTACCAAAACAAAACAAAACACAATAAAAATACTATAGTTAATGTATCATTAAGAATCATCATCACTTAAAAAAAAAGGTAGATCGAGTTGATTAAAAGTACTGATGATTTATTGTATCAAAAGTCATCAACACTTTGACAAAAAATTTTAAATTAGAAAATAAAAATAATAATTTTTTTGTAAAACTGAATAACAATAGTTTTAAAACTTCAAAAATACCTTTTAATATTTTTTTATTATTATTTTGTTTAAAAGTTTCGATAGTATTTAAAATTGTTATTTGAATAGTTTAAAATAATGGGGCAATTGAATTACTATTAGAACACTTGTATCTTTATTTGAGGATAAATCTAAAAATATTGTAATTAAACTTGAAATTGAGAAGTGGATCTTTGAATAATCTGAATAGAATTGAATATCCAAATACATATTCGTGTGGTGATCTATTTACTACATAGTTAACTTCTTTTTGGAATTGATCTGAAATTATACAGTTTTTTTACCTGCACCATAATCTATTAAAATTTTGAATTTTTCATTGAAGTTTATTTAAAGCTGCAACTTCTAATGGAGTTTGGTCCTTTCAGCCTATTTTATTATAAATAATAATAAAATAAAAAATTAATTAAAAATAAAAAATAAAAATTAATTTAAAAAAAAAATAAAAATAAAAAAACGAAAAATAAAAAAAAAAAAAATTTTAAATTTTTCATATTAGTTTAATATTATTACAAATAAAATGATGCAAAATTTTAAAATATATAAAATTAATTATAGAAACCTAATAAATAATATAATATTAAATAGTTCCATTAGAAACAATTGTAATAGCAATAATCTATATAGATTATTTTCAACCTCTACTTCAACCAACACCGGAACAGAGATTATTAAAAATAATGGGAAATTAAAACAACATCATCCAAAACAAACAAATACCAAACCAATTAAATCAAATCAACCATCAGAAAATGAAGAATCAGGGTCAGATCAAATAGTTCAAAAAAAGAAATATAATAATCAGCATATTATGATTAGAGCACCAGAAGACAGATCATTATCACAAAAACAATATTTTGAAAAGTTAGCAGAAAGAGGAGATATTGAAAAAATGGAAGATTTACTCAAATTAATGCCACAGAAAAGAACATTATATGCATATGAAAAATTAATATTGGCATGTTCAAAGAGAGGAAACTTTAATTTATCATATAAATTTTATAATCAAATGAAGAAGGATCAAGTTAAACCAAGTGTATATGTATTTGGCACATTATTAAACACATGCACAACAGCAACAGGAATAGATTCAAAGATAATTGAAGAAAGAATCAACAAAATCTTTGAAGATATTGCAAAGTATGAAGTTGAAGTATCTGTAAATATTTTTAATATTTTAATGAAATCTTTAATTCAATTGGGTAAAAATCAAGAAGCCATTTCATTTATAGATAGATTAAAGAGCATTGGTGTCAAGCCTGACATTACCACTTTCACAACATGGGTAATTGCTCAAAGCGAGAAAATTAAAGCAGAATACCAACTTGACATCAAGGGTAAAGATATCTTGGAAGAAATTAGAACCTCAAAAAACTCACAACGTTTAGATGAAATTCGTAGCGAAGGTAATAAACAAATCGACCACTTTTTAAATATTATTAAAGAAGCAAAAAAGAATCAAGTATCACCAGATAGATATTTTATCAACACCATACTCAATGCCTGTAAACATACTTTAAACCCCGAAGGTGTATTTTATGTGTGGAAAATACTTCAAGAAAATAAATATACTCAACATTTAAATGCAGATACAAGAACATACGATATTTTAGTTTCAACATGTAACAATATAAATGATGTATGTATTCAATATTTATCTATTAAACATTTTAAAGTTTGGTTTTCTAATAATCCTCTTTTTTTTTTAATTTAAATAGATTGATAAAGCTATAGAATTAACAACAGAAATATTTAATAGATCAATTAGACCAGATATTCATCTTGTTAATAATTTATATAGAGTTTGTTTAAGAATTGCATCAATGAATTCAATAAAGAAAAGAGATCAATACGATGTAGATAAACTAATAGATAATATTATAAACTATATGGCATCTTATAACTTATTCCCAAATGAAGAATCATTTTCAATCTTAATCTCAACCTATTCAAAATTAGGTAAACATAATAAAGTTTATGAATTATTAACCGAAATGAAAGAATTGGGTATAAAGTAAGTAGTTTATAAAATATACATTTTACTTTTTTTAAACTTAATCACTAACTTTTTTTTTTATAGACCAACTGTTAAACATTATTCAGGTATTATTACCTCATTCTCAAGTGATGTTGGTAAATGTTTAGAAATATTTAAGGTTATTGTTTCACAAAATATTATCGCCACACCAGATTTCATTATAAATATGCAAAAGATTATGAAAAGAGGTAATGATAGTCAAATTGAAGCCTTTAGAGATTTAATTATAACCCACGATCAATATTCACACTTTAAAAAAGATAAAAAAGGAAAAGAAAACAAATAAATAAATAGATTATTTTCCTAAAAGATTTTTTTTTTTTTTTTTTTTAATTTTTTGATCAAAAAAATATTTTATTTTAATTTTTTTATTTTTTTAAATTAAATTAAATTAAATCACACACTATAAAATGAATATTGATGGTAATTATCTTTTTTTTTATAAATTTCTATAATTAATAATAAAGAGGTATTTTTAAATCATAATTCTAAAATAATTATTTGAAATACATATTTATGTAGAAAGATGTATAGAAGAATTTAAAAAATTAAAAAATGAAGTTTGCAATCATAAACAAAGCAACATAGGGATTTTAATGGGTATTGATATTACCTCAAGTGAAAAAAATATAAAATTTATATCAAATTTAAACTCTGATTTAGTAGATTCAATAAAATCAAGTTGTTCAAAAACAAATAGTAGATTTATTTTTATAGGTTCAAATAAAAAAATCAATGGTTTTGGGTGGCTTCCCGATACAGTGGATAACTCTGAAGAAGAAGCTTTCTTTCAACTAGGTAAAAATAAGTTATTAAAAACTTTACAAGTTGAAATCCACGAAGCGAGGGATATAAATACATTAAATGGATTAATCAAAAAATACAAATAAAAAAAAATTAAATAATTGTATTTTTATATTTGTAAGATGATTAAATATATTCCATTTATCTGTTTTTTAATTATTTATTTTATTTTTGTTTTCTTATTTATTATTATAATTAATACTTTAATATAAAAAAAAACAAAAAAAATAACATACATACCAAATACCAAATACAATTTGTTATAGTTTATATGTATTGTTACAATTTCCATTTATAATAACAACTATAAAATAATCAATTTATTTGTTGTGAATATCAAATCCACAAACTATAGGAAATATATCATTATATGACAATATTCAATTGTAATATGTAAAATAATATTACCCCACCAAAAACAACAGATAAATTTAATTTTAATATTAATTTTTATGTAATTTTAAAAAATCGCCAATCAATTATAATAAATATTTAATTTTATTTATTTTTTTTTTTTTTTTTTTTTAATAATAATGTATAAAGAAAAAAATAAATAAATAAATTCAAAAAAAGAAGTCAGTCAAATCTAAAAAACTTAGTTTAATAATTATTAAGTCTGGTCTGTAGTAACTAGATAATTTTAAAGCGTCAAAAAATGGTAGTGTCTTTAATTATTTTAAAAGATTATAAATATTTTTTTTTTTTTTTTTTTTTTAATTTTTTTTTTTTTGTTTGGAAATTTCGGTTTTGTGCAAAATTTTGTTTTTTTTTATTATTTTTTTCTTTTTTTTTTTTTTTTCAAAATTAAATTAATTTTTTAAATATCTTTTATTTTTTTTTTTTTTTGTATTTGTTTCGTAATCATTTCTGCAATTTGACATAACAACACATATTTTAATTTATTAAAAATTTAATATAATATAAAGATTTTATTAATAATATAATATTTTTTTAAAAAAGAAAATGGAATCAGAAAAAATTATTTATTTGGATGGTAATACATTAAAAGAACAAGATCTTTTTAATATTGGTTACCATGGTTATAAAGTTGCAATTACTCAAGAAGTAGAAGCACTTATTCAAAAGGGTAGAGATGTAATTGAAGATATTTTAAAGAGTGAGAAAACAGTCTATGGTATTAACACTGGTTTCGGTTTATTCTCTGATGTTATTATCCCACCAGATCAAGTTAAAGTGTAAGATAACAATAATAATTTATTTTTAAAAACAATTGGAGAAAACTAATATTTTTCTTTATATAAAGTTTACAATGTAATTTAATTAGATCTCATTCATCAGGTGTTGGTAAACCATTATCACCAGAAAGAACTAGAATGTTATTAGCATTGAGAATTAATGTTTTAACTAAAGGAAACAGCGGTATTACATTGGAAACCGTCAAAAGAGCAATTAACTTTTTAAATGCAAATTGTTTACCATTTGTACCAGAACAAGGTACTGTTGGAGCCAGTGGAGATTTAGCACCATTATCACATTTAGCATTAGGTATGATGGGTGAAGGTAAAATGTATGATTTTGGCGAAACCAATAATCAATTCCACAGCAAAATTGATATCAATTGTTTAGATAGCGGAAACTATAAATTTTCACCATCTGAAGAGATTTTAAAGAGACATAATCTTCCAGCAATTGAATTAAATGCCAAAGAAGGCTTAGCATTAATCAATGGTACCCAATTAATCACATCATTAGGTATCGAAGCATTACATCGTTGCAAAATTCTTGCACAAACAGCCAATATCATTACAGCAATCACATTTGAAGCATTAAAAGGTTTAACAGCTGCCTACAATCCATTAATTCATGCAGCAAGACCACACACTGGCCAAAATGAAGTTGCTGCCTTCCTTAGATCCATTTTACACAGCGAACGTTTCCCATCCGAAATCACCACCATTGGAAATAAAGATACAAAAAAAGTTCAAGATTCATACACTCTTCGTTGTGTCCCACAAGTTCATGGTATTGTTTTCGATACCATTAAATTTGCCGAAGATATCCTCACCACAGAAATGAACTCTGCCACAGATAATCCAATGGTTTTCAATACCGAAGAATTTGTAGGAACTATTTCAGGTGGTAATTTCCATGGAGAATATCCAGCAAAAGCACTTGACTATCTTGCCATTGGTATTCACGAACTTTCAAATATTAGTGAACGTCGTATGGAACGTTTAGTAAACTCTCAATTAAGCGAAGGTTTACCATCATTTTTAGTCAACGGTGGTGGCCTCAATTCCGGTTACATGATTTCTCATTGTACCGCTGCCGCCTTAGTAAGCGAAAATAAAGTTTTAGTCCATCCATCATCAGCAGACACTCTCAGCACCAGTAGCGCCAAAGAAGATCACGTTTCAATGGGTGGTTGGGCTGCTCGTAAATGCTTACTAGTCGTTGAAAATGTAGAAAATGTTTTAGCCATCGAATTATTAGCTGCTTGTCAAGCTATTGATTTTAGAAGACCATTAAAAACCACAGAACCTTTAGAGGCTGTTCACAAATTAGTACGTTCAAAAGTTTCTTTTATGGAAAAAGATAGATATTTATCTCCAGATATTGAAGAAGTTTATAAATTAATTAGAACTGGTCAAATTTTAAATGCTGTAAATGAAGTTTTAAATAGAAATTAAAACTAATAGCAAATATTAAAATTTATATAATAGAAAAAAAAAACAAACAAAAAAATAAAAAAATAAAAATCAACACTATATATGCACAGATGATATATAGTTTTTCCTCTTTTCTTTTTTTTTTTTTACATCAAATTATCCACCATTCCTTTTCTTTTTATTTTTTTATAGAAAGTATTTTATTAGTAATGAATTTTACACAAGTGTGATCAAATAAAGAAATATACTATAAATAATTTTGGTTATTTCTATTTTTTTATAAAATATTTTATTTTTTTATTTTTTATTGTTTTTTTTTTTTTCTTTTAATAAATAATAAATATATTTTATATTTACTATTTTTTTATTATTATTATTGTTATTATTTATTTGGTTTTTTTGGTTGGGTTCCTTTTTTTATATAATTTTTTTTTTTTTTGAAGTGTACACTCTTTTTAATTTATTTAAGAAATTGATCATTTAAACATAAATTCCAGCTGAAAGTAAAACAAAGAATCCACCTAAACCTAAAGTGCATGATGCTACTAAAGCCATTGTTAATTCTGAGAAGATGTTTTTTCCTCCTCTTTTTGATGTAAGTTCAGACCTAAATATTTAGTATTTATTAGTATCAGCCAATAAAATATTTATAATTGATTGGATAATAAATGGTTTAATATTTTTGTTTTGAAAAACAATAGTTATCATTGTAAACCACACATAAATAAATAAACACACTAAATCACCATTCGCTGTGATGTTCACTTTTATACATACATAATAAAAACAGCTAAAAATGCTAAACCAACAGCTGAAAATAAAAATGCAAAAAGTGGATAGAAAGTTGGATCTACTGGACTGTAATATGGTGTTAATGCCATTTTATTATTATTATATCTTTAGTTTTAAAATAAAAAAAAAATGTATTTAGATCTAAATTAAAAAAAAAAAAATTAAAAAAAAAAAAAAATGAAAAAAAAACATAAAAAAAAAAAAAATTTAAAAAAAAATAAAAAAAAATATTTTTTTTTTTTTTTTTTTTTTTTTAAAAAATTTTAAAATTTAATCAGCATAGAAATTTTTTTTTTTTTTTTTTTTTTTTAAAAAAAATTTAAAAATAACTTGAGCTCAATCAATCTCTTTATTTATCATTTAATTAATTAGTTTGTTAATTAATTAAATAAAACCAATATTTTGTTGTACAATATAATCATAATCAAATAAAGTAATAATAGCAATAATAAAATAATAATATTAAGTAATATATTCAATAAAAATATTATTATATAATTTAAAAACACACGCACCCCCTTTTCCTTCATATAAATTTAATATATAGATTAATAATAATAATAATAATAAATTAAAAATGGAAGGTCAAATTAACAATAACAATGGTAGTGGGGTTGGTGTTGGCATCGAAAATCAAATGAACATGCCAAAAGTTTTAGATTTTCTTCAAACTGAATGGCTAAAATTTGAAGTAGATAAAGCTCATTGGATAGCAGAAAAAGCAGAGTTAAATGTATGGTATCATTAGCAATGGAGCAATAGTAGCATTACCAATAGCAATATCTAATATTTTTATTTATTTTTATTTAGAACCGTATTTCAAAATTAGAATCAGAAAAGAAATTATCAGAAAGACTCAAATATGATTTATGTAAAAGAATAAAAATGTTAGAATATGCACTTCAAAGTGAAAGAATGAAAAATAATAGTAATAGTAATAAAAGTAATATTAATGTAGAGAATAATGAAAGTAATATAGAGGTACCAGAAAAAAGAGAACCACCAAAGAAATCAAAAGATAATACAACAAGACTTATTATCAGAAAGTATTTAAAAGAGTTTGGATATGACGATATAATAGTACCCAATTCATTACCAAATGATTTCAATGATTTTGATAATAGTTCAAATAATGTAAATGAAAATAGTGTCAGTATAAACGAAAATACAATTCAAACAGTTTTAGATTTAAAGAATAATAGTAAATTAAGTAACTCATCAGATTCAGCGCAAATGAAACAACAACAACAACAGCAACAACAGCAACAACAACAACAACAGCAACAACAACAGCAACAACAGGATAATACTCAACAACAATCAACATATGATTTTATTTCAAATACAAATGTTAATGATTTAGCTCAATCATTAGATTCATTGTCAACTTCATTTGATTCAGAGTCACTTTTGGATAGTTTAAAACAATTAGATACTGCTTCAGATTCAAGTAATATAAGTAGTAGTAGTAGTAGTAATGGTATAAGTAATAGTACAGAATCTTTAGATAATGGTAAAAATAATGATAAATCAACAACCACCACAACCACAACTTCAACATCCTCTTCTAGTCAATCAGTTGATGAATCATACACATTTGATGAAGAAGATATATTTAATAAATTATCAAATTCAAAAGGAAGAATGAAGATTAAAGGTTTGGGTAATTATAAGAATTTTAAAGAAGCTATGGTACAAGAAATGGAAGGTAACAACGGTAGTAACGTTGAGTTTTCATTCCCCTCACCAGATCAAAATACAGAAGAAAAAATACCACAACCATCATCCTCAACCTCTTCATCATCATCTTCAAGTAGATCAAAGAAATCATTAATGGGTAGCATTAAAAAGAAATCTTCATCTTCATCTTCATCAACATTATCAGAACTAAAGGGTGGATTAGGTGCTTCAGATCTAAACGATATCACCTTAGATGATAGTTCAAAGACATCATTAAGTGACTCAGCAGCGCCACGTAATTGGAAATTAAAGCATACACTTCGTTCACATCTTGATGGTATTCGTTCAATTCAATTCCATCCAACTGAATCTTTAATGGTATCAGCATCAGAAGATCATTCAATTAAAGTTTGGAATCTCAATCATCTTGCACCAACCAAGAAATCTCCATCACCAGAGATTGAGCCAATTTATTCAATTCGTGGTCACCATGGCCCAGTTTACACTACAGAATGGAATAAGCAAAATGAGCATGAAGGCGATTTCCAATCTTTCTTCTCTGCAGGTTTTGATATGATCATTAAGGAATGGTCATTACCACCAGCTGATATCGATCCATATCATAAACATGGTTGCGTTGTAAATTATTTAAAGAGAGAATTCGTTGGTCATAAAGATGGTATCTGGGATTTGGTTTCAATACCTCAAATGTCTCAATTGTTATCAGCATCAGCCGATGGTACCATTGCATTATGGGATACTAATAGCACTGCTCAATTATATACCCTTTCTCATCCACTTGGTAAGGATCATATTCCAACTTCATTATCTTTACCAGTAACCGAAGGTAACAGAAAACTTTTAGCCGCATATAAAGATGGTTCAATTTTAATGTTTGATTTAGAAACTCAACAAATTATTCACCAATTAAAACAATCAAGCGAAAATACAAGAGGTGATGTCCAAGTAAATAAAATTGTTTCTCATCCATTTTTACCACTTGCTATGACCGGTACAGAAGATAACAAAATTGAATTTTTCGATCTCTCTTCAAATTCTATTGTACATTCAATGGTTGCTCACACAAGTTCAATTTCCTCGATTACCATTGACCCATCTGGTCTTTACCTTTCAAGTTGTTCTCATGATTCCTCAATTCGTTTCTGGGATATATCTTCAAAAACTTGTATTCAAGATTTACCTTCACATCGTCCAAAATATGATGAAGCAATTCATTGTATTAAATATCATCCAAATAAAGGATATTTCGCTTCTGGTGGTGCTGATTCTGTAATAAGAATTCATCAATAAAACAATAATAAAAATAATAATCAAGGGGTGTTGTTCAATATGGCATGGTAAAATATTCTATTTATATATTTTAAAAAAAAAAAAAAAAAAAAATAAATAAAAAAAAAAAAAAAAAAAAGATATAATGTTCATAGCAAAACAATTAAAAAGCAAAACAAAACAAAATAAAAAGAAATATAATGTAATATTAATTATAATAAAAAATAAATAATAAATAACTTTTTTTTTGTTTTTTTTACTAGCATATCCATTCACCACACCTATATTAACCCCTCTCTCACATTCATAAAAATAATTAAAATATATTATTTATTTGTGTTGGAGATACACAAATAAATATTTTTCTTTCACTTCTTTTTCTTTATTAATTTAAAAATTATCAAATTTAAATTTATAAGTTATGAAATTAATATTATTATTTTTTAGTTTATTTGTACTAATTAAAGGTCAAATATTACCAAATGATCAATTAAAAGCTGCTAAAGAATTAATTTCAACTCTATATGGTGTAACTACAGATGATGTATGCAATTTTAATGGTTTTTCATGCACCCAATTAGACTCCAATAGTGATTTGGCAACAGTTATATCTCTTCAGCTGCAATCCAAGAAATCATTAGATGGACGTGGCTATTCATCAGATAGAAAAACAATTAACAACGATTTAACAATTTTCAAAGATTTGCAATATATAGAATTGTTCGATGTCGAAATTAGTTCCAATTTTTTTTACAATTTATATAAATTAACCAAATTAAATATAATGTATGTATAACTTTTAAAGTTACTCTATTCAGTAATTATTAATAAAAACTTTTTTTTTGTTTTTTTTGAAATTTATAGTCACATAGATTATCATTTATTGCCATTAACCAAAGAATTTAAATTACCAGAGAGTTTAACTTTTATCAGTATCAAATATTTTGGGGGAAAGGTTGCAAGCAGTTTCTTTAATAGCAATTTAAATACATTAGATATTAAGAACTCTTTGAAAGGATTTGATGTAACAAATGGATCCGATATTGTTATTAATAATAAACTAACAGCATTATCATTACCCATTGTTTCAAGTAATACCCAAGCATTATTTGATTCATTAGGGGCAAAGTTAAAAAATATTTATCGTATTATATTAATTTTAGATGAATCTACCACCAAAACTAAAAAAAATATTCAAATCCCCACATTCAAGCCTAGTTCATTTTCGTCATTAAAATTATTAAATATTTACTTTCAAACTGGTTCATTAGAAAAACCAAATTTCCCATACACAATTAACAATTTAGTTGGTTTAAATCAAATTATATTTAATTCAAATCAATATACAATGGACGTCTCAAAACCTTTTATTGATTTTACCAAAATTAACCCAAGTTTATTTTTGTATGTATATAATAATTTACTCTTAATTATTTTATTTTATTAATAAATGAATTTTATTATTACAGCCGAGCAACATTTAAATGTGAATATTTATCAAGCTGTAAAAAAAAACCCTGCATTAAATTTCCAAAGAAAACTATAGTGTAAGTATTTTTTAAAATTTCATAAAATATTATTAAAATAATCTATTAATATAAAAATAAATAAAATAGTTCAGTTCAAGATTGCCAAGGCTTTGATAAATCATATGTCGAGGTTTCCCATATTATGAATAAATTATACACTGTATAGTTTGTAGTTAGTTATATATTTGTTTATTTATAACTATATAAATATATAAAAATATTAATAAAATAGAAAAAAAAAAAGATTAAATAAAAAAAGAAAAGAGATAAAGGTTATTTTTTTTTAAAAATTTTTTTATTTTTTTTTATTTTAAGAAAAAAAAATTTAAGACTTATTAAATCTTATAGACTATATAACATTTAAATTTATATCTGGGTTTTTATTGCTTGTTTGTATATACTATAATTATATCACATCTTCTACTTTTACTGTTGCTTTTTTAATATATTTTAAAAAAAATTAAAAATTATATATATATACATGGGTGGTTGATTTTAATATGAAAAAATAAGGAAAAAAAAAGAATATATGTTATTAATACTACTATAATGATACGTTATTGTTTGTTATTATTGTTTGTTTATATATTGTTATATTATTATTTAAGCAGTATAATCTTTAACTAATTTATCGAGATTTGTTTTGACGTAACTGTGGAATCTTTTAGTTTCAATTCCATCAATATAAAGAATGAAAGTTGGGACTTTTTCAACATTTTTATTTTCCTTGTACATTTCAGGGCATTTATCGTAATCTACTTTTAAAAATAAGAAGGAACTTAATTTGTTGCTGGCTTTTTCGTAATATTGTGTAAAATTATGACCTATATTTTATAATAATAAAAAATATTAATATTACAATCAATTTTTTTTATATATGTAAATTGGCCACAACCACAAAAAAAAAGATATAAAAAAAATTTTTAAAAATTTATTTTTAGAAAAAAAAAAAAATGACTGTTGGTGTGTTTTTATGTTTTAAAAAAATCAACAGAAAAAAAAAAAACATATTATAATATACTTTTAAATAATTTTTATACATACATTGAATACACCATTTAGTACTAACCATTACTAATACCCTAGGGGTTGTTCTAATTTTATTATAAGTTTCTTCTGAAGTGTTTGGTTCATAGATTGTCATTTTTTATTATTTGTTTATTTATATAATTGAAAAAAAAAATATTAATTTAATTTAAATTAATTTGATTTGATTTTATTAATTAAAGTTTAGAGTGTGATGGTGATGTTAAAAATAAATAAATTGTTTATTTATTTAATTGCTATATTTATTATTGGGAAGAAAAAACTTATTTTTAAAAAAAATAATTGTTTTTTAAAAAATAAAAAAAAGATATATATGTGAATGTATATAAATCTAAATTTTTTTTATTATTATTATTATTGTTGTTGTTGTTGGTTATTAATAATATTTTAATATTTTTGTTTTTTTTTTTTTTTTTTAAATTAAAAAAAATATTGATTAAAAAAAAAAAAAGAAATAAAAAAAAATAAAAATAAAATAAAATAAAAAATTTAAAAATAATATATAATATGTTAATATAAAAAAATTCCACATTAAAACTTGTGATTAATTTAGATATAAAAATTTAATAAGCTAAAATTGGAAAATAACTGAAAAAAAAAAAAAATTAAACATAATTTAAAAAAAAATAAATTCAATGATTTTTGTTAAAAAATGTGTGTGTTTTTATGTGGGTAGGTGTGTGTTTGAGAAAAAAAGAGGGGGGGTAAGTATATAGTTTTGTTAATTTTGAGTTTTTTTTTATGTGTGTGTGGGTGTGTGGGTGATATATATCCTACATAAAAAAAAATTTGTTAATTTTT